AACTATTATTTGCTATAGAAATTTCACCATCAATTATTCAACATTACTAAAATTTAATGGAGTTTTCTGATGAGTCTATGCGGCTGCCCAGGTTAGCCGGGCGGTGACTCCACCCCTAAATAAAATGAATAAACAAGATTATTAACACTTTTTTTAATACAAATGGGACATGTGCACACTTACATTGGATGCATTACGTGAGCTTGTGCACATGTTCCACTTATATTTAACCTGACAACATGAATTTTGTTGTAATAACATGGTACTACCAACTTAGTAACAAGGTTCTCCCTCTGTTACTATATAATTATCACTATATATTGACCAATATTATTGTAAACTTTGACCACTAATAAAGTTTAAACTATTAGATTATTGTGAATGAAAGTTTAATAGGAGTATCTATATTTAGCATATATTACACTCCGATAAGAGATGACATCTATTTAAGTATTATTTAGAATCTTTTTTTAAGCAAAGATGACGAATGGTCAAAGTATTTATCACAAATGGGACTACTTTCATGGCATTAAATTCTAATTAAGCTGTACCGGATTAAAAAAAATTAGAATACGATGAAAGGGGTTGCATTGAAAAATACTACTACCTCCAATGTATGACGCCGTTGATTTTTTTTTCAATGTTTGACCATTCGTCTTATTAAAAAAAATTATATAATTATTATTTATTTTATTGTGACTTGATTCATCATCAAATGTTCCTTAAGCATGATATAAATATTTTCATATTTACAAAAAAAAATTGAATAAAATGAATGGTCAAATATTTATAAAAAAAAGTTAACTGTATTATACATTAAAATACGGAGGGAGTATACTATATGGTTGATACATGCCAATAAGATCAGATTGAAAAGAGTTGACATCACAGCGACAACAGCAAAAGAAAAGAAGAGGCGAGTGGAAGGAAGGAAGAAGGAGAAGAAGAAATGGACGGTAGATGATGTGATCAGCATGCATGCGTGTCAGAGCTTCGTGGAGCTGTCAAGTCAGGCACGTGTGCACGAGACACGACGCCCCGCCTCCACGCAAGTCTATTTATAAAATAAGTTTTTCATAAAGGACCAAAACGTAAAATATCCACCACGCTCGCCACCCCCTCCCGCTATTTATCTCCCACACCACTCACCTCGCCATAGAGCTCACCCTCACCTCCTCCTGTCGATCGCTAGCTTAGCTCACCTCGTCGGCGCCGCCGCGCCTCGCCGCGCCAGCCACGAGGGAGAGCGCGCGCGCCTCGGTTAATTATGAAGGCGGCGGCGGCGACGACGACGACGACGAGGAGGCGGAGGCGGAGGTCGTCGTCGACGATGAGGCGGCTGCGGGCGGCGGCGGTGGCGCGGAGGGTGCGGGAGCTGCGGCGGCTGGTGCCCGGCGGGGAGGCGGTGCCGGCCGGCCGCCTGCTGCTCCGCGCCGCCGGCTACGTCGCGGAGCTCCGCGCCAGGGTGGAGCTCCTCAGGGCGCTCGCCGCCCTGCTGACGGCCTCATGCGCCGCCGCCGACGACGACGGCGGTGCGTGTACATGACGAGACGGCGGCGCCATGGCCGGCGGCCGGCGACGACGGTGAACAACGACGATCGATCGACTCCTCCCGATCCTACGAATACGTAGAGAGATTCGGCGTATAATTAAGAGTATAAATATTCAGAGAAATTAATATATGTATATGTACGTACATGTCGTCATGCATATATAGGCTGAGGAATTTCGGGGGTTAATTTTTGTCTCAAATACTCCTTAATATTTAAGTGTTCGGCCGATTCGTATTCTTTGTAATGTTTATGTGTATACATGTTATGATATTTTTGAGCGCTTGATTTTTTTTTAAATGTACCTACTAATTAAATTTCTGTCGATAGATTAAAAATCAGGAAAAGACATGTGATTTTCTGACTATCGGATGCACTTTGAGATGTGTCGAGATGGGTTCAAACCCATTACCCATGACATGCCGAGCACTTATGCATGGGGAAAACTATTCCAAACTAGTAAACTGTTGCGGGACATCCTCTAGTTGTTTGCCATCTAAATGATTATAAAAAATAAAAATATTAATTCAACAGGATAGCTTAGATTAATATATGATAAATCACTCTATAAACATGTAAAGCCAAATTTAACTTATACAAGTTACAACGAAAAAAATTAAACTATGGCTAGTTAACGTATATTCACAATCAAATTTGTTTTTTTTGGCAACTTAGAGAAGTTGAATTTTAGCTTGTATGTTTGTTGAGTGATTTATCACATACTATTCTATATTGTTGAATTTTTTTTATTTTTTTTATAACCATTTGGATGACATACGAATAACGAGAGGATATTCCTTCAAGAGTTTAGAATCCACTCCCAATATATCAACCATTGAGCTAAGTGACTTTTTCTTAAGTTACAATCTGATTACATCTAACTTATATTATAATCTATATATTACTTACGTACGAGTTACAATATAATTAAACTACACTACTAGTAATAGTATATGTTTAATCTGAAAGTTTTGTTGGAAAATCATATAGCGGTAGTCCATTTTTAAAAGGAGACAATCCAACAGAGACCCAACACTCTCACCACAACACAGGCACACATATCAAATTAAACTCCTAAAACAGATACTGTACACACTAGCGTGAAATTAATCTTCGATTCAAACTGAGTGCATATATAACTGCACCACCTAGCCATATTTCTAGCTACTATAGTGTTTTGGCTTATAGATAGATGCATGGGAAGCAGCTGAGATCAATGATTGATGCATGTTTATATATAGGACAAGTTTCTCCTTTATCATAGTATATAAATTTGAAGATTTGGTCTCTGTGATAAGAAATATCTATAGTTAAATCTAGAATTCGTTTTTTTTTGTGGAAAATCCGGTGCTTTAATTAGTACTGAAAAATCTAGATTGATATCTTTACGTACCAATTGTGAGATATTATGCACTATCCAGATCACTGAGGTCATACATGTATAAATATACGACATTTCCCAAAACAATTCCGCAATTTTGTCCTTTACTACCAACACAACTGTGTTTGTTTAAATTTCATATATAAGTATATATGATCATGGTGCATGCTAATTAATCAATCTTGCTGGCCCTCCTTTTGGCCTGTTTGTGACTTTCTGCTTCTAAAAGTCGATGGTTGCAATATGAGCATGCTGGCTATGAGCTGGAAGTTTGGCTAGCTAGCTAGCTAGCTAAGCCGTGCCCACACAATGAGACTAATTAATTAATTTGCTAACGTGGTCTTAATTGAAATTTAAGTCATAACTGATTATATATTAAATTTTGCATAGTGCTCTGGATTAATTGTGTTGTTAATTAGGAATATTGTGAAATGAGCAGTAATTAATATGCATGTTTTGTGGTCAGCCACATATATATACCCCTAAAAGTTAAAAACTATGCATGGAAGGTTTGCTCCAAACTAATTAGAAGTGGCAACAAGACTAGTGCACATAGTAATCAGATTTGTGAAATACTTTATATATTAGTTACTAGAGAGTACTCCGTCCATCTAAAAAAAATATTGTTTTAACTAGTTAAAAGACAAATTAAGCAAAAGATTAAAAGACTATTATACCTTTTTTGTGTAGAGAAAGCGAGAAGAACAAGATTAAATAGGTCCAGTTGATCCCACTCTAAAAGTATAGTCTTTGTGGGATAAATCTTAAAGGTAAAAAACAATCCTTTAGGGAGATGAGGAGTAATTGTTAGTTCGATTAGGGTTCTTCACATGATAATCACATATAGATATTGTGTCTTGAGACAGAAATTGAAAGGTATAAGAAATGAGAAGTAATTTAAAAGAGGAAAAAAATGGACATATATTTTGACTGGTATATAAATGGTGACATGGTGTGAGAAGCATGGCATGGGCTAAGTGGGTGTGTGTGTGTGTGTGTGTGTGTGTGTGTGTGTGTGTGTGAGAGAGAGAGAGAGAGAGAGAGAGAGAGAGAGAGAGAGGAGACAAGAAACTGAAATTTACAATGAGACAAGAAATAATTAATAGAGTGTTATAAAAAAGTAAAGAAAAATTTTGTTAGAAGGAGACAGTAATACAAAAATGCAAAGAGAGGAAGGAAAAAAATATGGTTCAGATATTAACATAGAAATCGAAATTTTGGTGGAATAATACCTGGGAATTTCATAAAAACATGTTTGGAATTTTCACACAGCAGTTTTAATGTTTTATGGTCCTTGATATGCATGCATGCACAATGTTTGGGAAGAAAATAGTAGTTATAAATATGGCATGCATATATTTTTCTTATACTAAGAAATATATATATACACTATAATCACCATCAACATGCGTCAAGATCGATGCAAACTAAAAAAAAATAAAACCAACAAAGACATTTTCTCACTGTTATACAGATCTTTTTTATTGACATGGAACTGTTATTCAGATCTTCATGCAACTTCAAAAGGGAAAAAAAAGATTATGACGCATTGTCAAAGAGATAGATCGTCGTGGACCGATAAAATCGTCTTGTCATTTGAAAGCTACTGGCCCATTCACTGGCTAAAGGCCTAGTATTGGCCCATGAAAAATCTACTACAACAGTTTCAAGTTCTCGGCCCATACATCTATTTTATGATTTTAATACACACGCTCATACTTTGTCACTGGCAAAAATCCTCTGATTAATTTCTTCAAGGCGAATTGCATGTGAATATTCTGCCAGTGTACTAATCATTAGTTTAGTCATCTTCAAGTTTCACAGTCTATAAGCCACGGATTCAAATTCTCTTCGAAAACCAAAGAAAATCTACTCAAATAGGCGCGAAAATCAAAGAAAATCCACCCAAATAAACCACCCGAAGCTGGCACCAACTGAACTCTTTTTCTCATCCTGACAAACAAAATTCACAAAAATCCACAGGTTCTGTTGCTCCAAGTCTCACAAAACCACAATTCTTACAGAACCACAGGTTCTGTAGCTCCAGTGATCAATCAGGCAGATAGATATAAACCATCAGCATAGCATTCTTTCAGTTCAAGAAACCTGAATGATACAACTGACAAAACTAATATGTAGCAGAGCATCTGAAATGGGCAGCAAAAACCAGTTCCACTTGGGCAAAAAAAAAAAGTTTATATACAGCAAAATTTACAAGGATCGATTCTGTTCCAATGTACAGAAATACACACACACACACGTACACACGCTGAAGAATTGTGCATTTGCAGTTTTTGCAGAGAATATTTACAGACTGCAATGCCCGGTACTAGCAGGAGCCGAGGTCCAATAATCCAAAAGCAAGTGGGACAAATTAACAATGGAATAGCAATTCATCTCTACATGTTATCATAGGTTAGCACATTATCAAGAAGGGAATAGGTTTCCTCTATGACGCGCGCGATTCGTGTTGATCAGCATTATGCCTTGCTTTGCAAAGGTACAATAGCCTTGAAACCTCAGGAAGGACATACCCACATTCAGCGCTGCTTCAAAATCCCACTGCTACTCTCTCTCTTTTTTTTGTTGCTGTTTTCTTTTTATACATCTTTTTTTGGGTTTCCATGTCTTCCTTCATCGATATAGTTCTGCGTCTTCAAAAAACGTAGTAGAACAAAACGGGACAATACTAATATTATACAGCGTAGCTAGGAGATCTGAGTTCTGACGAGAAGAAAACCACGGTTACACAAAATTCCTCCCATCTGCAAAAACAGCACAAGAGTTTAGAGTATTAGAATACACAAAGAAACTGTGATGATGAAAAAAAGAACACTCAACACCGTGCAAAACAAGACTTCCACACAATCAAATTCTCTGGTCCATTGATTCCTCATGGGACAATGTTCAGGTATGTGCCATCTGGGAATTAGGACAAGATAGTTCACCCCCACACTGGGGGTAAATTGCCATTGAAACAACTAATGTGTTGCTGTTCAATCAACTAATGATGAAGCCTCCATCAGGAAGCACTATGGCAGAAGCCAGCAGCCAAGTAAATTTATTTCAAAACAAGTAATAGACCACAAATTAAGTGATTGAAGAGCTGTAACACACAAAACTGTACCTCCAAGTGAGAAACAAAGAAATGGTTTGCAGAGCCATGCCTCGAAAAAAAATAATTGATGCACTCAAGTTCTCAATAATGTAACCAAACCATTAGAATATCCACTAGACTACTGCTGAGCAGTGAGTATAATAGTCCGACTAATTTTATAAGCTATAAATCGAAGTTTCAAATCCATAGTATAAAGTAAACCAACTAACCCACCAATCATAAAGAACAACCAAACGTATAGAGCAGTTGCCTGCCACAGCACAGGACAAATAAATCAGATATTCCCAAGTTGATTAACATAATTCTTATACCGAAAAGGGAAAATAAGCCCATCGTGGCATACATTTGGTACGTCAATTTCTCATCCTACTGTATTTAGCTCATATTGTACCAGCTTATAACAAGCTAAATTCATCGCCGGAACAGCACGGATGGTTGAATGGGTCAGATTTTGTGAATTGTGTGAGCTTCTGAAACTGAAATAATTTCCTGAAGCCGACGTATCAACGGGGACTTAATTACTCGTACCCAAACCATTTTCAAGAATCATTTACCACACACATATGATTCCTTCCTAATTCTGGATTGGATAAACCAAAGCATATTGGTATCAAGCCGCAGTATCAATTATTAACCGCACAACCCAAATACACTAAATGACACTAAAATTGTTTCATAAATGAACTGAACAACGACATGGCTGCTCCTCGATTACTCACCGGAGAGGCCGCCGCCGTTGGCGAGGGAGGCGGCGGTGGCGAGGAAGTGGGCGCCGCCGTCGGGCCTCCCCGCCGGCTCGGGCTGGCCGTGGCGGTAGCACCGGACGAGGACGGCGAAGCAGCCGTCGGGGTCGCCGTCGGTCTGCAGCTCCGGCGAGAGCTTCTCCTGCCACCCGATGGCCCAGTCGGAGTCGTCCGACTCCGACCCGGACAGCCACCCGCCGCCGCCGCCGTCGTCCGACGCCACGATCACCATGTCGAACTCCCTGTCCACTCTGTCCTCCTCGCGGCGGCTGCGGCGGCCGCCGCGGCGGCGCGTGGTCGCCGCGAACGTGACGGTGTCCGGCTCCCGGAACCCGGAAGGGAAGTCCGGGAAGGAGGCGCTCGTCAGGCCGGCGGCGGTGGTGGGGAGCTCGTGCGTCGTCGCCGCCGCCGCCGCCGCGCGCGCCGTGCTCGCCGGCCACAGCCATTGGGTGAATCGGTTCAGCCCCATGGCCATGGCGCCCGCACACAGCAAGAAATTCCCTTCTCTTCTCTTTTTCTTGGATCAAAAAATTCTTTGGATTCTCTCGGATCAGATCAGATTAAAAAAGTAAAAAATCCGCGGCAAAATCAAGCAAAATTTCGGTGTTTCTTGGATCTGCCAAGTGAAAGAGAGAGGAAAGAAATAAACACTAGAGGCAAACAAAACCACCTCGAAAAAAAAATCCTCAAAATCTTCTCACAAATTGGATCATCAAAACGAAGATTACTTTTTTTTTATCTTTGGCACAATCACTAGACTAGAGGAGCAAAGTAAAGGCGTCGCCTTTTCAAAGGCAGCTCTACGGCCACAAAATCCGGCTCCAATTAGGAAAGTTCACTCAAACTGACCAAAAGCCCTCACAAAAACACTCCCTTTCCGCCCAAATTCGTCCAAAAATTTCCAAAATCCGATTCAAAACCAACCAATCGAACAGCCGAACCGTCAGATGCGAAACAGGAAATCCAAAAACTTAAAAAACTCCACCCGCAAAAATCACCTAAGCTCGGTTCGACCGTCAAAATCCACACCCCACTAAAATCCCATACAAACAAAAGATATATCAAGATAACATTTCAGTGGCTGAAGAACAACCCATTCTTGGCAACAATCCCCCAACACAAAATTCTCCCCAAATTTCTCGACCGAATTCTTGCCTTCTCAAGTCAAAATCGAGGCCACAAAATCGAAATCCACTCTCCTTCCTTCCTTCCCCTAATCAATCGCTCGATCTCACTCCCTCATGATTGGATCGCCCAACTCCTTCTCCTCCCCCCAAATCGAACTGATGCAAATGCGAAGGCAATTGACCACCACCACGGGCTCATATATAATCCTCTCCCCATCCCATCGGACGGCCCGCATCGCGCGGCGTGATCGGAAGGCGAGATCTGGCCGTCCGTTTCGCGTGGGCCCCACGATGGCAGACGATACCCCCGGTGCGTGCGACGCAAGGCTGCGATTTCGTGAGGCCCCAGGACACTCGCCGAGCGACTAATTTTTTATTAGCAGTATGTAGATTTTTGATTGGATCCAAGCTAGCACTGTGAATCTGGACACGAAGCAGATTCGTAGTGTATACGTAACATGTCCAGATTTATAGTATTAGAATGGTTATGTTTGGCTGCACTTCTTTTTACTGTGCTGCAGCCTACCTAAAAAGTATTATGTGCCAATACGTCCCATCCACCTAAAATACTTTATATTTTGGGACCGAGGGAGTATAATTTAATTTTTGTTTTTATGTGTGCTTCATTATTCGAAATTTATTTTTGTTTTTGTTTTTATTTGTGTGTGGTTTCGTTTCGCGTCTACAGTACGTACGTGAGACCCATCTGAGGGCCATTGAATCTGGATGGGTTTCAGGTCGCCGTCGGGGAAAGTTCGGGTGAATTTTGTGCGCGTACTAGGAAGTTATTACTACGAGTTACGACGGCGTGGTGAAAATCAATTGGTCGATTTTGATTTTTTTTTTCCTTTTTTGAACGGAGGTCTCATGAATGTTGAGTTTGATTTGATTTCCATCGTGGATCACGTTTTGTGAATACGTAGGTTGAAGTAATTCTTTTATAGGGGTGATAATACGGAGAAGGTAAACTTGATTAGTGCTTGTTAAAATTGCCTGTCAAAATTGGGAGTTGGTAAGAACGGGTCAGATAAACTAAATTGCGTAGAGAAGTGAGCATGACTTCTTTGGATATTTGATACGTGCATGCATACGTAGGAAACTAAAGTATTAAGTATATATGATATGATTGATGTTGCTTTCTCTATATATAAAACTATACAAATTCTTCAAATGGATTGTCTGATTAATTGTGGCCAGCACAAGGTTTTGTGTTGGATTTTACAGATTTTGATCCTTGTGGCAGAAGTGACCCCTGAGATAAGTAGAGGGAATTAATGAGAGGTGTTGATTTAATTGGCACATATAAAATTGCTTTATGATCCATCAAAACAAGCTACGCATTATTAATTGTTTAATGACAATTGTGCTGACTAGAAACACAAGGTGTTCCAATCATACTTGAAATTTTAGCAACAGTGGAGACTAAAGAAAACATCAACATCACAAAGATGGCATACATGGCTACATCTACTTGGCGGGTACACGTGTCACACTCCGCGTATATCCAATTGTTTCATGTAAGATAATTAAGAGGCATCCCTATCATATATGAACCACCTCACATGCCCAATCGTTGGAGTTTTGCAGAATTAGACCTCCACGTCACATATATCGTCCAATTCCAGTTGTCACGCACTCTCACCCCATGCACGAGTAATTATTTAATTAGCCAGATGAAGATAAAATTATAGTACTATACATATTTATCGCACGTTATCCACCATAAACTATAAAAAATAAGAGAAATTAAATTTAGAAAAGAATGGGAGAAAAGGTATTTGGCTCCTATATATAGGAGTATACGTCAAGAATAAAATACATACTCTGATTGTAACGAGGTATGCTGAAGATGAAATGGAGTTGGATTTTTCTCAAGCACCCCTTCACATGTGTCAACTGCCAATAGCTTGCAATTAGCCCATTAATGCTTCTCGGTGAAAAAAAAATGCTTTCCACGTGGTGAATTTGATGACCAGTCTTCTTGTTTGTTTTTTTAATCTCTCTCTATAGTTCTTCTTTGATCTCTACATGCATATTTGTTGCGATATAATTCGTTCTGGTGGTAGATATGGATATGGCCCAAGCGACCAATTCAGCTGGAGGATGAAAAAAAAAAAGGTAACCATGCATGTATGCCATGTTAATTAATTTAATTATAAGTTCATAGGTACTCAAGTCATCAATCACAATTCACAAAGGTACAAATTAATGCAACGTGGCATGCATCCACTTCTATGGTGGCAGCTGGTACGGTGGTAAGTAAAAATTGTCGGTCTTAGCCAGTTCTATTAAAGCAAAATGTTACACAATGCCAAGTGTCTTGTGCCATCCCTCCTATGTCACATCAATCGTCTTCTTTTGTCAAAATGCTAGTACATCCTTTGATGATAGAAGGGTATATATGTGCGAGGATAGACAAGTGGCATATTGGTTGTTATCCTAAAAAAACTCACCTAATAATCATACAAAAGTTTGGATATAATTTCTAACTTTGTTTGGTTGGTTTTATGTAATATTGCTCGGTTAATGCGGTAACTTTCTCGGTTTTTAGTAGTAACCTCTCAATTTTCATCATAAATAACTACGTTGGTACCACGATAACCGTGTAACACCGAGCGAAGGTAACCCCTCTCATAGTGGTGATGCAAACCGCCATAAGATCGGTCCTGATAATTTGGTGGCCATATTTACTAAGACTTACTTAGTAAAGCATCTTTACTAAGCTAGATATACATGCCGCATGGGGCCCCTTGGTGCTGGGGTCCCAAAGCAGCCGCATACTGCTCGTCCTACCCCAGGCCGGCACTGGCAAACCATTGGTTGATACGAGAGAGACGAGAGATGCAATAGGACATAATGAGAAGGGCTAGAGGAATTGTTGCGCAATAATTATGGAAAGTTTACTCTCTGAAACATACAGTAAAAATATAATATACAGATTAATAAACATGCATGGTTCTCCCACACACGTAGCCAAATTACATTTATATAGGAAATAGTTATACAATTGGAAAAACTTAAAATGTAAGATCACTCATCATGGAGGAAAAAAATATCAGAGATTCCAAGTTCCCGACCATCCACACATGGCATGAACGATCGACATAGTTTTGGGTCATTTTCTCAAAAAAGAAAATCGTTCCACTAGCCCTCCCAATATCTTCTGTGCATGTGTGTACATTGGTTGTGGGAATCTTGGATACCCACTTGATCCTTTTTTTTCCCAAAGAAACTCTTTCATTCATTCAAGAAGGACAAGCTTACAATGGCACCATGCTAGTATGTTTTTGCATGTTATTCATCTTACCAAATATACATGCTTACAACCAACCAATAATTCTTCCAAAAAAAAAAAACTACTCCAACGTACTTCGACCAATAATTCTTCGTAACAATTTCAATAAATTATAACAACCTACAATATTACGATAGTATACTTTTGGAGATGCAATTCTGATTTTGGTGTATATTATCTAATTATTCAAATTTCATCGAAAACAAAGTTAGAAGTGCTTGTGCCCAAAATAAGTGTTAGAATTTCTGTCGAATATATATATACATCATAGCTAGTTGGTTACAATTTAGAATTTAAAGTCGTGATAGGTGTAGGATAGAGTTAGAGTTAGGATAGAGTTAGAGTCAGACTCTGTCTTAGGCTTTCTTTTAAATAGTGAGCCACCACTGGTTGTCTTAGGCTTTCTTTTAAATAGTGAGCCGAGTATACATTATATTATGATATATCAGGAAAGAATGTCTGTAATCAATACAGTGGGAATATATGTTTTGACTGAACCTGATTAATAAACATCGTGCCTTGGTTTCCAAGGTTTATACTGGAGCCAATTTTATAACAATAAGAACTGCTGATTAATTAGAAAAGGGCTATAAACAAACTAGTAACCAAATCACAGCAATTAATCTAAAGAGAGACGCCCCTATCCTATCAACTTAGGGCCATTTCCATTCCACGCGATGAGCATCACTGACCGCCGCATATTCTCCCTCGACATAACACATGGTCCTGGGTTTTCAGGCCTATCTTCATATCGATTCCATCGGACTGCTCCTTTCAAAGATTTTCTTTCACAGGAAAAAAGTAAAGCACTCAGATTCCCAGCACAAACATGCACCAGCCACTAGCTTGTTAGCTTAATTATTCTTTCATATTTTTTTTTCTTAGGGCTTGGCTCTTCATGCTTGTCAACAGCAGCAGCCATGAGAGTGAGACAGTGAGACAGTGAGATAGATAGAGAGAGAGAGAGAGAGAGAGAGAGAGAGAGAGAGAGTTATGCCCAATTAATCAACAAGTTGCTCTGCCTTTCTTTTTGTCTTGTGTCTGATAGATGCATGCCCCCAAGCTTGATTAGTCTTGTCCATGAATGATTAAACCGTCATCAGCCATACAAAAAAAAACAATGTTTGTTGTTACTATTATTATTATGGCTGTTTGTGCGATGACCACTCAGCGATTCCTATCCGTTTATTGCAGGGAGCAGTTCTTTACGTGTCATGCAGGGTAAACTGGCTGGCTCAAATTGGAGATGATCGGATGAGGATCGATCGCTACCTTAGCTTGCCACTTCAGTTACTTGTAGTAATTACCTTCTTAATTACTACCAGCTTGTGTGTGTTAATCTCTGAACATATCTGAATTTGGAGTGCTCTGAATGTTTGTTTGAAGGCTGATGACATAGACAGATAGTCGATCTCTACTCTCTAGTTTAACCACATGATAGCTTGTTATTATTCAACCTGTTGGTACTAGTAATAGTAATATTAATAGTTAATTGAAGCTATCACCAGTGCTAGGAATTGATTACGAGCAGATATTTTGCATCCCAGAGTCACAGAGCCAAAGACAAGGAGCAGAGAAGCCCATGGTTTTGGTAGCTGACAGAGAACCATCTATTGTCAGGAATATTCAGATGATCATGAAGGAAAGCAAAAGGTATCAGCTTGGTGCAGATCGGAATATTACATGTCTCTCAGAAGGATCAACTAGATGATTCTTGCCAATTGTGCATTAATTAATCAGTACTTAATTAGTATTATACCTTAGTACCCTCTAGACAATGTTTAAGAGTTTGAGGGAAAGAAAATGCTGCTGTAAGCAGCAATGGCATGCATGATTGCTTGCTTCACCTTGCGTTTCAACTGGAAATGAATCCATGCTCTGCATGCAGTGGTTTTGCCATGGACAAGTAGTTGATAAATGCAGGGGTATATTTAGTATTTCCTCCCTTGAAATATATAAGATGTATTTTGTTTTGTTAGGACAAAACTTTGACTAACAATTACTCTATCAGAATATAATTTTCTTAGCACAAAATTGATTTTGTTATGTTCGTACTCGAAAATACTACTTATGATGCTTTTATATCACATAAATGATATATTAGGGCTTGTTTAATTTGTTGCCACTTTCAACCATACCAAATTTTATCATTACCAAATTTTGGTAAGACAACAAACTAAATACATCTTTGCTACCTTACCAATTTTTGATAATTCTAGAAGTTTCCACTCTTAAAAGTCTTATCAAATTTTGGTAGGGTTAAAACTGGCCACAAACTGAACAAGTCCTATTCAATCATAAGATCTTTTTAAGTAAAGTAATTATAAGTTAAACCTTATCATGACAAAATAAAATACGAATGGAGTAAGAGTTCACACTGTCAAGGTTTTGCTCAAGGAGTAGATGATTCTCGAAGCAGTGTGGTTGCATAGTCTGAAAAACAGAGACCATGGGCTCTGGAGAAGGTAGTTAATTAATTAATTAATTAATTAATTAATTACACTGACGTCCATAACTATCATTTCCCAACCAAAGTTTTTTTTCTCCTCCAAGCATCACAATTAAGGACTCAACAAGGTCAAGAGGGAGAAAAGAAAAGGAATGGAAAGGCTAGGATAATTCTTTTCCACTACCTAAAAGAAATTATTCTTGGAGTGCCGCGGAGGCAAGTAATTGTACCGATCGAGTTCCATGATTATCGATTCGGAAGTCATATATTCTCTCACCCAAATTAAGATGTTTTTTTCTCCCTTTGCCAAGCATCCCAATTAATAAGGACTAGCCTTTAGGTCAAGAATAATAATGGGACCAATAATACAACCGCACGTAGGGGTCTCCAATAATAATCAATACTCTATCTGTTTTATACTATATAAGTCGTTTTATTTTTTTAGTCAAACTTTAAACAAGTTAAAAAAAGGGTCGTTTTATATTTCTAACCTAAAACAAATATATTATCAAAATATGTTCAATACAAAATTTAATAAAACTAATTTAGTTATAAACGTTACAAACTTTTATTTTATGAAAACGATTTATAATATAAAATGGAGCGAGCAGTGGCGTGGCTGTTGTCGCCATCGGCGATGGACAAGAGGTAGCGACGCGCGAGCCAATTGGAGCCCCTCGTTCGGTGGCGTCGTCATTAGGATAGCGATCAATCTGCCTTTGAATGTACTTGTTGTGTTTAATTTACTGTGGTAATTAACTGGGTCAGTGTTTTAATCGGCGATCGAGTGGATTAGTACGTGAGGTGTAGGTGATTGTTGTGTGTGTGGTCGGAGGAAGCAGCGGTAGCACGGAAGCTGGGGACACTTGGCTGGCTAGCTTGCTCTTGACAAGGTTCAGTTACCGTACAAGCTTTCTTCAGTAATCTTGGTGTTGATCGATCGGGACAGATTTGATGTGGCTGTGCTGCAGCTGCAGCAGCATGCAGCAAAATTAACACACACAATTTCTGCTATTTCTACTGCTTGTGCCCCTAGTGTACAAACCTAAGGCCCATTGTTTGGCTATTTAGAATGGTTTATTAGGTAATAAAAATAAATTTATAGGTAAATTTTTTTTATATTTTTTTTACTTAAAAGTCAATGCTGAAAAAAAACTATGTTAAAAAAATCTAAAAATTAAGTTAAAAATTTTAAAATTTGGCTTTTTCTTTAACTAATTAGGCTATTCGTTGGGAGCCCTATCTGATGCATGCCTGCCAGTGCCAGGTAGGATTAGAACTGCACATTGTGACTAATCATATTCCGTTAGAAGCTAATTAGAATGCGATGTGCATATGTGAGGGGGCATTATTGAGGCATACTATATGTACAAATGGCCTCTTCTTGGTGCTTATTTGGTCATTCACTGTTTAATAATTAAATCTGCTGTACGTGTCCTTTCCTCTAAATTCTATACATCTTCCTCTATTTATATAAATAGCGTGCCCTCTTAATTATATGTTCTTTTCGGGGTTAATTACATGTTTAATGAGCAGCGAGCACATGTATGTCTATATATAGCAGACATATACGACTACGTGTTATCCTAATCAATGTTAAACTCACTGAGATCAACCATGACATATTATTTTTCTCTTGGAATAAGTTCACTTGAGTTCACTTAACTTGTCAACGAATCCGATTTTCGTCCTTCGATCAGAAAACCAGATATACCAGGTCCCTTAACTATCAGAACCGGTGCAAAACAGGTCCCTCAGCGGTTTCGATGGTGGTTTTGGCTGATGTGGCACCGACGTGGCCAGTTTGAGTTGGTCCTCGTCTTACGTGGCGATGATGTGGCACTAGAAGCAAAATATAAAACTTAAAAATAAAAACAAAAACATGGGGCCTACAAGTCAGTCGAACAAAAGTAAAAATAGTGGTACCCACATCCTTTCCATCCACGGCGCCTTCTTCTCTCTCCCTCCCGGCCATCCTTCCTCGCCGGCCGGCGAGCGCGCACGGAGAAGGAAAAAGGCGCCGGCCGGTGAGCACGCACGGAGAAGGAAAGAGGCGCCGGCCGGCGAGGGGGGCGGAGAGGAGTTGCGGGAGGCCGTGATGCTCGTGGCGTGCGCCGGGAACCCCGCCATCGTGAGGCTCCGCGAGATGATTTGCCACCCGGAGACCAGCAAGCTCCACCTCGTCATGGACTACGTCGGCGTGAAGCAGATGCTCGCCGGCGTGAAGCAACTGCACGCGCGGGGGCCAGGGGGTCATCCACGGCGACATCAAGCCGGGCAACGTCCTCGTCGGCGGCGTCGATGGCTGCGTTAGGATCTGCGACTTGGGCCTCAGCAAGTCGGCCGCGGCGCCGCCGCCGCGGACGCAGCTGGTCGGCACGCTCTGGTACATGTCGCCAGAGCAGTACGCCAGTACCTCAGCAGAAAATTTTAGCACGAAATCAAGCGAAAAATGCAGCCGCTGCAAAAGATTGAAAGCCCGTTTCTTCCCCGCGGTCGCATGCCACACCGGGGCGGCTTCCCTCATGGAGGAGCGCACATGAACAAAGAACACTGGACATGCACGGCCGGCTGCCAGGCGGACTCGTCGTAGCACATGCTCTGCGTCCTCTTCCACTCTACATCTGGCCGCCGGCTCGAGCTCACCAATCGAGGAGCACCATCGCCTCATCGAGCTGTGGCGAGACGATGGCCAGCTTGGCCTCGTGGGCTTGGTGCTGCTCTGGCCGGATCTCGACAAGAATGTTAGACGGAGCTGTAACGCCGCGAGGAGGGTGAGATCGAGCATTGAGGCCGGTGGCGTCGCGGAAGAGGAGGAGCTCGCGCTCGCGGGCTCCCACCTCTCCTTCATGCGCGGGCAGCCACATCGGCTGCCGTCTTCTCGCAGCTCACGCTATCGACTCCACATCGCATGGGGGCCAGCCTTCGAGACTCCGCTTCCGCTGCCGACGCCTAGTTCCTCTCCACCGGTCGCTGCAGCTAGGTCCACCTCCCGCCGCCCCTACCTCTTCCGTCCACAACTGCCGGAGCCGAGCCTCCATCGTCACGCGCGTCGCGAGAGAGGAGAGTGGAGAGAGTTGAAGAAAGAGGGAGATGGGGAGAGGAGGAAGAAGAGGAGGGCTGAGAATGACAGGTGGGGCCCACGTGGGCCCCACCTTTTTTATTAATTTATGTGTGAAACTGACATGTGGGTCCCACGAGATTTATTATTTTTCCAGCTCACATTGCCACGTAAGCGCCATGTCAATGCCACATCAAATAAAGACCAAGTCAAATTAGCCACGTTAGTCAAAACCACCGTCCAAACCGCTGAGGGACCTCATCTGCACTGGTTTTGACAGTTGAGGGACAAGTTATAACTGGTTTTTTGGTTGAAGGACGAAAATCGGATTCGTTGACAAATTAAGGGACCTTAGATGAACTTATTCCTTTTCTTTTCTCGTGAGGCCTAGCAACGTGTAGAGAGGCCGCCTAATGGGCTCACCTGATTGGGCCCACACTGCAACGGAGAGCCCATCACACAACCATTGGCCCGCTGGGAAAATTGTGCCTTCAAACACGGATTTGGTCACAATATCATCATGTATTTTAGCTTTGCTATATAAAATCGTCACCTTTAAACTTCTCTTCCCCTCCCTCTAGCACGCGTGAAGGTGTTTGTCGACAACCACCAAACGCCATGACCACCATCCCATCTTATAAACGCCGCTTTGTGCTTCAATGCCACCAACTCAATCCAGTACCGCGGTGGCCTTTGCCATCACGTCGATATAGGAGGAGCGAGGAAAATATAAGAGCCGACCTGTCAGCTAGGCAGCGCCTAGCTCGACGACGGGGTGCTAGCAATGGGCTGACTAGGTACGATCTATCATGTACCCATCCGTGCCCCTCTCTAACAGCACACGGCAACGATGATCTAAACCAGTGAGGTGAGGCCATCGGAGTTAAAAGTGAAAGAGATGACGAGGAGCATTTTACGGTAATTTAGTGAAACCAAAATGCAGGACGACATTACGAAACCGTATTCGAAGATGGCACAATATCAATTTTCTCGCTAAGACATTGACCAGTCAACCCACTCACCCACTTCCAGGTGGGCCCGACGTCCCGCGGGGACGCGACTCCTCGTTTCCCGCGCAACTCCCTCCCACGATTTTGCCTTGCCTTCGCCTTTTCCTCCAAATCCCTAGCGATGCCGCTGCCGCCGGCGGAGCGCCGCCTCACCGTCGCCGACCTCCTCCGCATACGCCGCCCCACCACCGGCGCCGCCTCCCTCGTCTCCTCCTCCCCCTCCACCTCGACCGCCCCGCCTCCCCGCAAGAAGCCCAGGCTCCCCGCCGCCGCACTGACCCCGACCCCTCGTAGCACGGCGCCCTTCGCGCCCATCCCCCACCGCGTCCTCCTCGCCGGCGTGCTCTCGCTCCCCGCGTCCGGCTCCCCCGTCGCGTGCCGCAGCCACTGCCTCTCGCTCTCCGACTCCCCTCCTCCCGCCTCCTCCGCCTCCGTCTGCTGCTACCTCCTCGACTTCGACCCCGACGCCGTCGACCGCGAGATCCACGTCCTCGCCTGGAACTACCTCCCGTCCCTCCACCACGGCGGCGCCGGCGTGCTCGAGGTGGTCCGCTGGCGCCTGGCGGAGGAGGGCACGCCCGCACCTGGCTCTGGCTTCCTGAAGACGATTCCGCTCGATTGCGTCGATGCGGAGCCTGATTCGGGCACCCATGGCCATGTGTTTGGGGTGGTGAGGTCGGTGAGCGTGGTGTTCAGCGTGCCGCGTGCTGGGCAGAAGAGTAATGCAGGTGGAGGTGACAATTCGGTCGGGTTTATCGCGGAGATGATGTGCTGCGCGTGCCGTCGATGCAGGGTGTTACCTCCAGAATCTGACCAGGATCACAAGTTTGAGCTCGAGAAGTTTGTGTACTTTGTGGATTCCGCAAGCTGGTGGCGGCCGGTGCTGGCGCGGATGGTCGGGAGGCCTGTGTCTGTCTCGGGGTTGAAGAAAAGGTTGGTTTCCATTGACAGGAAGGGCTCGTACACCATGTTGGTGTCGACGAGGAAAACAATGCTCAGATGGTGCCCGTCCTATCCAGCTGTTCTGAAATTGGATGGGTCACCAGGTGATTGCGGCGGTGTGTATACCGGCGTCGTCACCGGAATTTACATGCAACGCATGTTGATTGAGCTGGATAAGATCGTATGGTTGCTGATTGATGATCAGCATCTTGCTCCATCACATTCTCTCCGAGTTGGTGCTGTTGTATGTATAGATCTGTATTTTGGTTCCCAAATTGATCTTTTATTTAATGTCATGTCTTCAAGTTAATATAACTGTTCCATTTTTCTGTTTTGTAGATTTCTGTGAAGAATGGTCGAGCAATTTGTCTAAAACTTGCTTGGACAAGGACTCTTCTACTTGGAACATGCATTAAAACTAGCATCACTATAAATTCTTTCTCCCTGGTGGACTCCAAGTATGAAGGAACTATTTTTAGCATGCCAGTATGATAAATTGCAGATGTCACTGAATTGTTTTTTAGAAGGTTATGTCACTGAATTGTTTCTGCTGTTGATGCAGATCTTATATAAAGGCAGAGGACAAGGGTCTGTTAGGGAAGTTTGTTGACTCTTTTGAGCTGCCTGCTAGATTTTGGTATGAATTTTTAATAATTCTACCTGTACTTTATGTACATACCATGAATAACAGGACAAACATTTTTTCTTCTCACGGTATGCTTATTTGTTCTTTCAATTTCCAGGATGTTAATTCTGATACCATGCTTTAAACAGAAATTCACCAAGTTATTTTCTGAGAAAGAGATTTTGGGCTCTAAAAATGTAAGTTGCTAATTTTGTATTACATTGTCAGAACACTTAACATACTTGAGTACTTAATATGCTACTCGTTTCACTGTCTGCTGATTTACTTGACTGGGACTCTTGAACTGCAAGGTATCAACAGACGCACGGATTGGTCCACACTTATGCTTCTAAAGTTCTCTCTTCAATGGGTTCCAAACCTCAGGCAAGTTCGTGAGTAGTATATGTGTTTTCATGAATGTATGAATATGATTTCCTAGTACATTTTGCATCGTTTCCTTACATACTTGATGGATTGAACTTAGTGATGTTCACTTGTTCAGAGCTGAATGTAATTAACAGCTTGTATGCTAACAGCGTAAGGAAAAAGCTTAGCTTCCATACTGCCTATCAAAACTAGCACAATATATGTTTGTTCTACTTACTTGTCATACTTTTTTACCCTAAATTGTGGCCATCTTGCAGCAAACACATTAGAGGGATTACATAGTATATTTGTTGATGATTAATTTTGCACAAGACAGAAATAATCATAAATAGTTCTTTGATAGATAAATTTTAGGTTTAGTCATTTGACTCATTTCTACCATAGGATGTGGATGAAACATTTTTTATGGTAGTAGAACAGCATGTAATCACTCATAATGTCTTCATACCATTAGTGATTTTTCTACTAATTTGGTACTTTACATGGTGTTTAATCATGGTGCTCATTACATTAATCCTTTTTAATGTTCGTAATTTTTTTCCTTGAACTTTACTTGACTTTTGTTGCACAGCATGATTTCTTTATGAAATTCTCCAATCATAACTGCGGCAGTCCTCGAGCTGAATTAAACTTGGAAACTTTTAAATTGGTAATATCCTTGTATGCTTGTAACTTAATTTGTCTCTCTTTTTTTTTCCTTCTGCTTATCCTTAACAATTGACTTTGATTAGGTCATCCCCTTTGCTAATTTTATATGCAAATGTGAATCATTGTGGATATTAACAATGCTCAAAATTTGGAATGGCACTGAAGAAATGGACAAGAACCAGGGGGCCCACCAATATCTGTGTGATGGGATTTCCTATCCTGGTACTGCAAAAAAGTTAATTTCAAGCAGCGATCTGAGTTCTGTTTTAGTGGGAAGAATCAAGGTAACATTGAAATTTTGTGACTTGCTTGAAAATTTATGATATTTGTTTTTCTTTCTCCATATTCAACCCCTGTATTATACATATGATGCTTGGGGTGTTAACTTGTAAGATTCTTCAGACGCTCACTTGGAGATGAAAACGATAACCACTAATTGGTTTATTGGATTAGGGTAGGCATGTGTGTATTGCATTTTTTTTTTCAAAACCTGGATGCTACATATTGGTGGAAGTGAATTTTGTTTTTTTATGTTTGATTTATAGTTGTCTTGTAGCATTTTACAAGCTTGATATATACGTGTTGTCTATTATGATTTGTTCGTGATTTGACTTTGCAGGCTAATAATTCTAATTGTGACTTTATTGCATACAGAGATCTTCGGTGTCAGGAACACTGCAGTTGGTTGATGCAACAGGATGTATAGATGTTGTTATACCAGATCTGCCACCAAATGTTTGTATGGACAGCATCTACGAGGTTATGCTCACAGTTTAGTGCATATATATACTGCATGTGGTTCATCTTATAGATGTTTTGTTGGCAGTACGGTGACCTTCATGATTTACTCAATTGATATAATTAATACCTTATCATTCATTTTCATGAATTATGGGACGTGGAACTTTATATTTTAAAGCATGAACAGTTTTTTTAGTGATATTACCAAAACTGATACTGCAAGTACTGATGCAATGTATTGGACTATTGGTAGTGTTCATATGCTTTATTAGTTTTTCAAAGTAGTTCCTGTAAGATAACCTGAGACATCTATCAGCTATCATTTTGATTGGAATGCTCAAATTTCAAGATTATAAAACTATAGAAATCAAAAGTTTTATGTAGGATATTAGTAAGACAGTAATTTGTAGTAAGTTTCTCAGCACGAACATTCCTACTGTATGTTTTAGTGCTTTCTGCAATGATTTTTTGCACCAGTAAGATGTATCTGATGCTGGTGGGTATTTCATCTCTTTCTATTGTACTACTCTGGTGCCAAATTTGCAGTCGCCTATCACTCAAATGAAAATACATACTCATGTATGAAAAGTGCCCAGCGGTCTCCAGCCTATGCATCATCCTCAACAAGTTCTTTTTTGTTTATAGAATTTTATTATGTCAGTTGACCCCATTGTTTTTCAGCAATGTATATCCAACACTGCTTTCTGATTATTCCATTTGTTATTCAGATAAATGATTACAAAGTAGTTCTTGAAGGTCCCATGGCTTACCTTGATCCTTATGATGTTACTGATCCATTGTCCTGCAAGGCTATTTGTGAACATCTATCTTTCCGAAAAAGACTAAATCACCTCAAGATCTATGTTATAATCAACTGGAGTGAATTGAATCGAATTGGTCCTTCATCAATTCCTTTGCAAATCAATGCTTGTGCCAAAATGTTTCACCTGCTCAAATTAACACATATATTTCCAGCAAATAAGACTGTGAGTACCTTTACTCTTAAACTATCTATCTTGAGGTTTTTGGAATTATCAATTTATCATGCCAATTAGTGTTTGACTATGTTCTCATTTAGTCATTTTGCTATTTCAGTTTCAGCATCAAAACTTGTCAGGGCCCAGCTTGTATGCTGAGGCTGTGATACTGCCATATGATTTGAAGTTTACTGAGCTAGATGAATGCTCTGAGCATGCTGAGAGCTTTAGAATCTCATGCATTCCTTCACTTGGTAACTCCAAAGTGTATACGGCAAAACCGTGTAATATTCTATGCACACTAAGCTTTGGAACTACCAATCTTTGTGGTTCTCTAGTGTCTATCTACTCTTGTGGATCAGTCAGTACTATTGTAAACGATACTGTTTGTGGCGAAAGAGATCACACTTTTAGGATTTTATTGGAATTTAAGGATGGAAGGTTTAAATATCAGGTATGTTTTTTAGGATCAATTATTGAAGCTTATTTTCTTATTCTGCATTGCTTCATATTTGCATGTTTAGCCTTGATATTGAGATAGTATTACTAACCTATATGATCAAATAACAGTCACTGCGGATCGGCGGCTACTATCTTCTTGAATGTTCCACTGAAAGTATGAATTATTCCATGAAAGGCTGTGGATGTTTACAAATTAGTAAAGTTTCACTAGGTTATCAGAGTAGATTTTGGAGTCTTGCTATTACATTTAATGGTACTATAAATATAAAGCAGACCATTGGGGATCAATCTATTGGAGTTTCTTCAGTGAAGATGGATGAGCCATTTTCCAGAAAAGCTGTCAATAATGAGATAAAGCTAGTGCATACTTGGAATGATTTCCATCAATATTGTGACTTCCATTTGAAATTTCACTGTGATGAAAAGATGGACGAATACAACTCTTTTTGCAATGTATTCAATGAATTGTGCTCTTACTCAAATGAAGTTCTAAGTATCTCATCGTTCATTAAGACTAGGGTGCCAAAAATGCCTTCTGGATCTTCTAACTTGCAAAGGGATAAACTGGTTCAAGGGGATTTGATATCATTACAAGGAAAAGTAGAAAATATCCATCCATATGGCTGTAAGAAGGAAAAATTCATGGTTGGTAATGAGAAGTCCAGTATATGTATCCATGTTACTGACGATAACCATAGGGTAAATGCCAATCTTATTATTTTCAATTTAACAGGTATTTGTTTGCTTGGAATTCCATTTCATGGCATTATTTTGCAGGTGCGGCTCTTTGGTTACCTAAGTAAATATGGTTATCCTGTTGGATTAGGACCAGGGGCATCTGCGACGTTCCACCGTGTCCTTTTGACACAGTATGTCATGTTCCTTTTAGCTCTTACTAAAGTGTTGTGTAAACCTGCATGTCGTACTAGATGGTAGGTGGAATGTGTACTGAATACTGTGGGTTCACTCTGGTACGAATGTAAAACATGTATTGTCCATTTAGATTAGACAGCATACCTGAGAATAGTCAAAGTTAAATGATAGCTCTACATTCCTTTGTTTGTAGAGTATTGATTTGATACGGCAACACTTTCCATCTTTAATCCTTACCTGGGATGAGATAGAAAATCCTGAGTTTTTCTGGACGTATGAGAACAAACAATGGATCGAACTAATAGCACAAAAGGCATTGCACAATGCACACTACCACATCTGTTTTCTTGCTTGATTGTAGTACTGTATATGAAATAAACGATCTCTGTTGAATGGCAGTTCTGTGTGCATAATCATTTACATTCACCTATTTTTTAGTCCGACTTGTGTTTCATACTAAAATTATTTATTCTCAAATACTAAAATAAACTGATATGTTATTTAGTCCAAACTTCTGGTGGACTAAATGTTCTTAATCCTTGTTGGAATAGGTATTTGGTGCATATGCTAAATTAGAACTCAAATCACTGCAAATGCCTGCAACATATTTTGTGCTCTGCAAATTTGATGATACGTTTTTTGATATCTATAATTTTTTCTGTTTTCTGGCAGCAAGCATGAGCTATTCGTCACCCCACTAACATATATTGAAGTGAGCTCCATCAGTCTTGCTGACCTGAATGAAGAATGTGTTGTTACACCACCCATTTCTGATTGCTTTAAGGATGGTTCACTTGGCAGAGTTTCCTCGTGTTTGCTCTTCTTAAGTCATAAACATTTAGCAGAAAATAGAGCCATTCAATTCCAATGCCGGGTAATCTGTTTTGTGCTTGTATTCAATTCATGGATAGGTTTCACTTCACTGCTTTTTAATACTTGTTTGTTGTATTTACACCTAAATCTTATAGTTAAGTTCTGCCTGTGAATGATCTCAAGCTCAACCATTTGACATTTTTATCGTTGTTAATACAGGTTGTAACAATCCATGTGTTGGTTTTGGACGGCCTCCAACCCTCAAAATCAAGATGTGAAACAATAAATGTAAAAGTCAGACTAGCCGGATTTATTGTTGGTAAGAGATCAGTCTCACAACAATTTCTTTTTGCTGCATCCACCATCTACAGTACTAGATGAAATAACTTCCATTTCTTTGAAAGGGTGTTTTGCCTTTTCTGGTTTACATGGATCACTGGGTATTTAATTTATTCTATCCAACTTAATGCTTTTAACAGATGATGGATCCTCTTTGTGCTGTTGCTGGGCTGATGATGCAAGGGCTGAGTTGTTGCTCGGGCTGCAAGAGGTTGCAGTTATGAATTCTTCTGTCACTTCGAGGTTTTCAAAAGATGGAGTAAACATCCAACAGACTGTTGGTTCTTTTCTAGAAAGTTTGTTAAAGAAGCACAAAAGTATCATTGCAAGAAACTGTGGGATTCCTCCCGACATCTCTTGTCGTGACTTGGAGTTGTCTTCTGTTCTCAATAAAGTCTTAAGTTGCTCAGAAGAGAAACTTTTGAAATCTATCATACTGAATGCTTGTTGGAAGGGAACTTTGGTGAGTTCATTTTATGCATTAGTTGATTACTACGAATTATTTGGTTGCTAAAAATTATATGTGCTCCTAAATATGCTTCATATCATATCAGCAGTATTTCATAACATTGTTTTACCAGTCTATCAATAATAGTCTATCTATATCCGTCAACCAGAAAGAAAAAGTGTTGGTTGTGTAATCCATTAGAGAATTTTGAATTTGCAATTGATCACTACATTTCAATCATATCTGATGCTTTCTTGTATGTGTATAATAGTTTTCTCAGTGTCGCTATTTGACGAGTTTTGCACTTTTGCAGAATGTTATTGCATCAGCTTTAAATGCGAACACGCTAAATGGATTTAATTTAGAGCTTCCTAATTTACATCCAGTACGGAACATGCCGAATTATTGGGTTAATCAAGCCTTTCACATAGATCCTTTGGAAGAGGCCCGAAAAATGTTTGACAAATTGGAAAGCACCTAATGTTATTTGGACCAGAAAATGCATCAAGTTCCTTATTATTTATTTTGAAGTATGTGGGAGCAGTACACTGGTCAGGGTGTACTCATATCCCCAGACCAATACTCTTCGGGTTGGCCATTTTCCTGACAAGTTATCTCTGTCGGTCTGGCCAACTCTTGGAGAGCGCCTGGTCCAACTTATCTAAGGTCTGCTGGGACTGAACATTTATTCTCCAGATGCTTCGATGCACTGCTGAACGTGTGAGCGGTAAGTATGCAGGCTGGCTATTTAATGCTAATTTATCCCAACCATTCCCATGCTGCAGTAATGTTAACACTTTGTTTCAACGCAAGTCATGATATGGATTTGTCATGTGTGATGTGATGCTAATTGATTGTGTTCTTCAGGCGTGTTCGCTGCGTTGTGGGTGGCAAGATGGAATTAGAAACCATGTTGGACCGGCTTTTGGTGGCAGTATAATAGTATATATATAGTTTTGTATAGTAAGTGCAGAAACTAACAAATCACTATGCCTTTACGAGGAATGGCTCTTGTTGTATAATGATGTATTTACTTGTGCACTTTCGTTAGCCGGGGTTTGCATCTGTAATATTGTAAACCAAGTTCCTCTTTTAGTCTTATATGAAATGAAATTGGGCGTCAAGGGCTATAGTTCTTACAATGTTAAAAACAGACTTCCCTAATTGATTATGAGAAGCTGGGTGGTGATCCAAACTATTGGAGTTGTCCATACAACCAAGAACAAGCAATTCTTCTCATTTTTTTTTCATGATTTTTTCATCACATATGCATAGACATAGGAGTAGGTGACACGATGCAGCTTTCAAGCCACAGGTCTGCACTGTGTATGTATTTTACCCATTCGCTCGATTAACAGTGCTGTGTTCCAATACAATGCATAACTTGGTGTCAAGTCGACGAAAGAAAAGCTTTTTATTCAAAGCCTAGTAATTGCGCAAATCCAAATCTGATCTTGTTTTTGTTAGCTACCACGTGCCAGGCGAAAACAACATGGTTAAACCCCAATGGCTGGAGGAACAATGAACAGCGTAATCTTGCCCAAAACTAAGTATAGATATGAAGATTCCTGTACTTGTCTTCAAGGGCTTGACCCTTTCTTGAACAGCTTGATTTGATCACCGTAGTAGTAGGCACTGCCGATCATCAGAGCAACCGTCGCTCCTTGAGCGACCACACGAGCCCTCATCAGTTTCTGACCCAGTTTAGAGTTGCCATATCGGAAGCTGATCAGGCCGGCCGTCAGAACACCAGCAGTGACCAATGCACCTGAAATTATTACATTTCTAATTAGGCAACTGAGAAATGTTTGTGTGGAAAGGCATAAAATTTCCCAGATACTATATCAACATCAAGATAGCATCCATGTTTTGATTTGCTATGCCTACTTCATCACAGATAAAGTTCAGCAGTTAACACCTAACAGGCAAGGGGAAGCGTGAACCATGTTTTGGTTCTAACTCATTTGGAAAATTATACTACGTACCAACATGATTGCACCATCCATAACAATGCAGCGCAGCAAGAATTGAACTTTATAAATTGATTAAGTGACAATTGAGCAACACGAGACATGACTGAATTGGAAGTATCCTGGAAACTCATAGCCCTGGCTACGGATCATATGCACCAGAACTAATAGGCCTAGATGATTATTCATAACTTGAAGCTGTGGTAGATATCTAAAAAGTAAACTTTCAAAAAAAAGAAAAAGAAAAAAAAACTGCTAAGTTGTCTAAGAACATATCCTCTTAAGTTCTAGAATATCCACATTTTGAATAAGCTTCACACACATGTGAGAAGAGGAAAAAAATATTGTCCACTAAAGATATATTAGAAGATAAGAGTAAGTTACTTGAGGAGACAATTTTATGAGTTTAAGTGACTTCACATTAGAAACTACAACTCCATGCATAGCTATATGAAACAAATCAGAAGTTTCAGGGAATGCGCCTTTAAGCTAGTTAACTCATTCACATCTAACAAATCAGAAGTTTGTGAACACAATGCACATCTAGATTCATAGAGGGCCTCGCAGTTCTCTGCTACATCCGTACACAACTATAACACTGCATACCCAAATCCAACTATCCATAAATGCTTTGAGTGTGTGCAGCTTGAGATAGTAGAAATCCCAAAGATCAACTGATCAACAGAATGTTGCCCACCGAGTTTCCATCAAAGCTGAATTACATCTACTGTATAGTTCAGCCAAAAATTCATGCCAACAAAATCCGGCGGAGGGGCAGGAGAAAAACTGGTTCTGTCAGCTTAGCTTATGAATCAAAATATTCAAGTATAATCTGCTTGAAAGAAGGTCACAAAATAGACATCTCCTAATCACCTCAACTTGAAGGGACATTCTCACTTTCTTCACCAATTCATAATATGTGCACTGCACCGACACTGCTACTAGTCTCAATGTTATTCCTAACATGTAAGTGAAAGAAAAAAAGAACCACTACAAGCAATGATACTCACATTTTTTTTCCAGACTTAGCATTATTTTGCTGAAGTACATAAGCATACCAAGCTCATCCTTAATCCTGTAAAACTACTGCCTTAGATTCCCCCCTCCCATGAACTGCCATCCAACGAATCCCACAAAACCCATTCAATACGCTGATTCTCAAAACCATCAACAACCGACCCGACCACAGGAAAACCGATCCTACCCGCTCCCCCCCCCCCCCCACACACACACACACAAAGAAACCAAGAAACCACAGCTAGGGCGCCACCGCGCGCGAGCTCGCGCGGGCAGAGATCGAGAGGGCCGCGTACCGATGGGGACGAAGGGGTTCTTGACGGGCTTCTTCCCCTCGAGCGCGAACTCGTCCGTGTACATCGGCGGCGGCGGCGTGCTGCTCCTCCCTCCCGCGGCGGTGCTGCTCTTCTCCATTCGCTTCGAGAATTTTCTTTTTTTTTTCTCTCTCTTCTTTGCTTTGGAAGAGCGACACGTGAGCGGCGGCGCGGTGTGGAGGAGGAGAAGGCCCGGAGGCGGGGGTGTTTGGGCCGTTGGATTGAGATCCAAGGGTGGTGGCTTGTTGTGGTTGATTGGAAAGCTGTGTGCTGTTGGGATGTGGTGTCAAACTTGCCAACGGGAGGGCCTTGAACAAGAGGGATCTTGGTGATCTTGACGTCGCAGAGATATAGAATCTTCTAGAATGCGACTTTGTTTATATACCCATCTACTCCCTCCGTCTCACTATATAGTAAGTTTTAGGATTTGACACAGTTATTAAGAGATTAGGTAGAAGTGAGTGGCGGAGGGTTGTGATTGGATGAGTAGTGAATGTAGGTGGAAAAAATGAATGATAGTGGGTTGTGATTGGTTGGGAATCATCGTTTGGCTTTTCTCGTAATAAGCCAAAACGGCTTATTAGAGAATAAAAATGAATTTGTAGGTAAAACTTTTATATATGTGTTCTCGGTGACTTAAAGGCCAATGCTGAAAAAGAAACTACGTTGAAAATATCTCAAAATCAATGTCAAAATTAAGTTTGAAAATTTAAATTTTGGCTTTTTCTTTGGCTGAATAGGCCATCCGATGGGAGCCTAGAATGTTGGTGGAAAAGTTGTAATATTTTGGGACAAATCCTGAGACTAAAAATTGTTATATTTTGGGACGGAATTAGTAAAATACTACCTCTGTCCCAAAATAAGTGGTCGTGGGAATCCGTGTTCAACGTTTGACTGTCCGTTTTATTTGAAAAATTTATGAGAAAATTTAAAAAAGTTAGTCGCACGTAAAGTACTATTCATGTTTTATCATCTAATAACAATAAAAATATTAATCGTAAAAAGTTTTCAAATAAGATAAACGGTCAAACGTCGTCAGACATAAAAGCTTCACTTATTTTAGAACGGAGGGAGGGGAGTATATGAAATACTTTTATCATGTTGATGTCGAAAATGGTGTCTAAGATTACGTCATTAGGAAACAATAATATACTCCCTCCGTATTTTAATGTATGACGCTGTTGACTTTTTAACCAACGTTTGACCATTCGTTTTATTCAAATTTTTTGTGCAAATATGAAAATATTTATGTCATGCTTAAAGAACATTTGATGATAAATCAAGTCACAATAAAATAAATGATAATTACATAAATTTTTGAATAAGACAAATATTTAAACGTTACATAAAAAGTCAATGGCGTTATACATTAAAATATGGAGGTAGTATAATATATAGACGGAGTATGTGCACGCGAGTAGTGAGGTTCAGAGTCGGGGAGTACATATAATTTTGTGCGCTGTAGTGTATCCGGTGAGTTATTGAAAGAGAGGAGAAGATAAGTCTGAATTCCCTCCTTGGTGTCGCTTCTTTTCTGACTCCCATCCATTTCTCCTAACTCGACGATGAACTAACCTCATCGGCGATAAGGAATATACTAACTCTGTTTCAAAATACAAAGAATTCTATTATTTCGAGAAATAAAAAAAATAAAGTTTAAAAGTGTGACGCGCCTAGTTAAACGAGGGGGTGGTGGTTAAGGTAAAGTTGGTGGAAAGCTAAAGCCAAGTTCTGAAGTGCTTTTGAAACTGACAAAGCGATAATTTTCTCGTTCAAAGCCTAACTACTAAACGTTAAGTTTTCTATAACATATTTTCTATGTATAAGTTTCTCAAAAAACAAATAAATCTATTCTCTAAATTTGTAATAATTACTATTCAATAATCATGTGCTAATAGCTCGTGTAGTTTCGCGTGAGGTTGAAACATCCGAGTGCACTAGCTAAAACGAGAATTATTATTATTTTTAAACTTTTCATTTTATTTTAAAAATAAACCGTTTTAAAAATTTATTTCTAAAATCTGAACATTTTAGCCACACCAGCTCACCTGGCATGGTAACATAACACTGTCACATCACCTCTAACAAGCGTGATAATTTTATCATGCCACGTTAGCCTGGGTGGCATAGCCAAATGACGCTGCCACGTTAGCTAGATCAGCGTGGCTAAATAAATATTGTTGCACCATTTAAATTAGTGTGACATTATTATTTTGCCATGCCTGTCTGGCTGAAGTGGCCTAAAGGTTCAGATTTTAAAAATACGTTATGAAAATAAGGTTAAGATTGTGGTTTAAAATTTCGCTGAAATTCCTCAAGCTTATTTGTAAATTTTAAAATGAATTCAAATTGTTCAGGTCAGTCTTTCCTTTTTTGACTCAAAAATTCACCTTGGATATATGTAAATTGTTGAGAATTCAAATATTAAATTTAAATGCAAAGCTTCCTCGAAATCCCTCTCTTTTCCCTTTCATAACTCCCTACGTACAAATTTATTCAAACTAGTTAGCATGTAAGTGCAAGACACATTTGGCATATTTAACTGGTGTAAATACTTTTATATTGTTTTATGCTAATAATAAAAAAGGTGAGTGTGAGCATAAAAAATTGCAGTGAATTCTCTTTTAGTTATCCGGCCTACATCGATCTCAGCGATAACCACCTCTCCGGTGAGATCCTGACGACGCCTTCGTCAACCTCCGTCCCGAAATGTTCATCATCCTTAAACTCGACTCTAACTACCTCACCGGCTGGCTTCCCCTGTGGCTGGCCAACTACATGCTTCTTCACACATGGATGGTGAGGAAAAATACGCTCGTAGTCGTTGGTGAGCTTGGTGTGTCTTAAAAAAAATGTTTGATTTCTTTAACAAGAGAGTCAAATTTATTAGATAATCTTTATGGTGCTATCTGGTGGTAGCAGAATCAATACAGATCTTTACATTTTCTAATCCAATATATTATATATATTTCATTACCATCTGAATTACATCTGGCCTAATTGATGATAATGCAAAGTACATATCGGCTCAATCCTTCTCTCATCTTCTCAATCGACTTACCGAAATAGAATCGGAACAAATATCAGGAGGAACGACATAACATAAAATAGGCAATACATGCAAGTACCAAAGATACGCTAATAGATACAATATTATCTATTACACCTCCAGAGTTATTCCAATTAACGTTTACGTTATCATGATCAAATAAAAAAAACACCTAGTAGTACTCCTCTATTACTACTACTCTATTTTTCAATAGATGATGGCATTGTTGACTTTTTTATGATATTGCATCATCGTCTTATTTAAAAGTTTAGTGTATATATGCAAAAAAAAAAAGTCATGCTTAAATTCCTTTAATAACAAAATAAACAATACTCACGAAATTTTTTGAATAAGATGAATGCTCAAACGTTGTGCCCAAAGTCAACAATGTCATCTTTTAAATAATGGAGGGAGCACAAATTTAGTGACAACGAAGTTACTACTAGAGAAGGTTGTATTTCATGATTAAACTTACAATATAGCTAGGATGTTTTCTTGGTACTTATGTTTGATTAATGTGACTTAACCACTTGATAGTTTGAGAGAATAGTATTGTTGTTCTTCTCAGGAAAGAAAAGTCTAAAGTATCGAGGTTGGTTTAAGTATGAAATCGGGTATTCTAATTCTACACCCTAAATTATTGAAATGCCGGTTCAAATAACCCCCTAAAATAACACTACAAGGAATTCGGTATGACAACCCATTCTTATCAGAAATATGCAAAAATTCATAATAGAACAGAGTTTTTTGCTGACCTCGTGATGAAATGGCTTCATCACAGGAGATGCGTCTAGGATCACCTTGTGTGATGAAGAAGGGGTGTTTGTCACAAGTTATGATGATATGCCATTCTTCATAGCGTTTGTAACGACCCAAAACATCATATACCAATTGCTATTGTACCATCGCGTGGACATCGTGATGACATGGATCCTATGTGGTAGAATGTTGTGATGTGGAATGTGCTGATATGGCAAATCTTTTGTGATGATTTACATTATCATAAACTACTGGAGGCCCATTTTATGGCCTAACGCATTGAGTAATGGGAGTATCTAAAAAATTGTCGTAAGTTTTTTTTTTGGGTCAAAAGCTTTTAGATGCAACTATAGTATAACTAAAATACAATTACATTGTAACTGTACTAACTACGATATAGCTTATTAAAACTTGCATTCAACGATGGTTTGGTTAGATAGCCCTGGGATCTTACGCATGGCATGTGTGAAAATTTCTTTATCTAGCAATTTTTTTCTCTTCATGCACAAATCTCGAAACGATTCGATGGTTACAAATCTGAAAGTTTTGGGGGCAAAAAAAATTGTGGAAGTTTTCTAGGAAATCCGTTGGGTAAACATTCCGATTTCTTCCCATTTCCATTCCGGGATCTGAAGGGGCTAGAGCAGTCCAGCGGGTCGCTGATGTTCTGCTTTGACTCGTTGACAAACATCGCAGAGTGCGACGAATTCGGCTATTTCTCTTCTCATGCTGGCCCACCAGAATTTCTCTTTGAGGTCCTGGTACATTTTGGTAGTGCCGGGATGAATTGAATACTGAGTTTGATGAGCTTCGGTGAGTATCAGATCCTTCAGTTTTTTGTCGTCGGGTACACACGCCTAGAAATTTAGCCCAAATTTCCAGACTATTTTGTGCATTAAATCCCTGTCCAAGACCAGCCAGGGTACACAAAACGACAAGTAATATACAGTTCCAAACATAAATAAAAGCGTAAATACTTACAGAAGAGGCACTTAGTCCTCACACCGAAAGAAAACGGCAGCAGCGGAAAAAGGCAATCCTAGCGGGGCTTCAGCTCCACTCCACAGGCAAAACTTAACTGGGGTCTGAGCCTTGGTCTTCTAACTCTGTCTTCAGCTCAGAAGCACTACACTTCTGAAAAGGGGGAATAATAGTAAGACTAAGTACAACTACCGTACTCAGCAAGCCACACCAACGATGCAGACGTGCAAGGGGAACACAAGGACGGTTTGTGGCTATTTGCATAAAGGCGGTTGTAAAACATTTTATTGAGCAAAGCAGTAAAACTGTTGAGTAATTAAAGTAACATTAAATCTCCACTGATCAACGCTACACCACGTTGAACAGGCCCAACCAACCCACCTGAACTACAGTGCATTGAGTCGATTTATTAAGGTGGGACTAATCACGGTGAATCTGGTCGACCGCCCATAACCGCGGGCACGGCTATTCGAATAGTTTTACTCTGAGCAGAGATGTACAACTGTACCCACAAGACACAGCCCCACGACACGTTTCCGTGCGCCGACATGTCACCACGACATACCGGAAAGAGGCCGTGACAGGACCCTTCGCATAACCCCCTCTAACCGATCGCACCACACCTTAGGGTTCGCCCCCGCCCCCAGCAGGCAACGGGTAGCCCCCCTTTCGTGCCGCGGTGAATCCGGAAGCCGATCAACCAGACACCCCGGCCGACCCAACTCCATCACGCCCACCCTCGCCTGGGTACGTCGGCTAGAGGAAAGCTATACTACAAGCCCAGCCGTTGCCCACGCTGGCTTGTGGTAAGTACGATAAATTCTTCCAGGGCATCCCGTGAACCGGTCCTTAATTGTCATGGGTGCGACTAGCAAAACCATGCACCCACAACCCACCAATCAGTCGCATTTTAGTTGGGTAATTACGACAATGAAGCATGGCCAGATGTCTCGAGCACGCAGCTCATTTTGATACTAAAAAAATATCTAATACTGTAATTATCCCATCAACTGAGCTAGTGGTAATTAAGCATGGCTAAGCATATAGTTCTAGCTATGTCACATAAGTAACATGAGCTAGTCGATTTATTACCCAATATTGACAAAGGACAGATATCAAGTAAACATGGCACAAGCGAGCAGATAGGTAAACCCTGATCCCATGTAATTAGCAAGACATGCATGTTTATTTGCAAACGGTAAAACATTTATAAATTGGGATCAACATGCTCAAGGGGAATGTGTGACTTGCCTTGCTTCTTCACTTTGATCTTCCGAACTCTTTTCCTCGCGACCGCGGACTTCCGAAACGACGAGAACTACACGCTGGCACGCAAAACGAAGAAAAACTCTAATAAAAACCAAGAAAACAATACATAAAAAGTAAACAAACATGTAGAGCTCAATTTTAGATAAATTTTACAAGTTGAATGGCCCAATTCGGAGTTCGAATGAATTAGATATGAATTTTAGAAGTTTTGAGCCATTTAAATGAATTTCTAGAATTATTAACGAATTATTGCGCAATTATTAATTAATTTTACAAAGGAAAAGCAATCGCTGACGTCAGCAAAAGGGGAGGCCGGCGCCGACACGTGGGCCCCACACGTCAGCGGGTTCAAGGGGAGGGCACACGGTGGACCAAGTCCACCGTGGATGAGGCGGCACCGTGGACCGAGACCACGGGTGGTCCACGGGCGGCGACACAGGAAGGCAAGAAGCCGGCTCGCCAGCCGACCCGACAAGGCGGCGGCGGCACACGGCCGGACGACGACCACCGGCGACGGCACCGGCGGTGAGCGGCGGCGCGCGGAGCAGCGTAAGGGATGGGAGAGAGAGGGGAAGGGAGTGCTCACCGAGGGCACGGCAATGGTTGGAGGCAGCCGGCGAAGCTCGGGCGGAGAGAGGCGGCGGCGCTCCGGCGACGGGCGGTGCCAACAGAGGGGCGGCCAAGGGGCGCCGTGACCTGAGGAAGGTGATGGGTGGGTTAGGCGAGCGCGGGGTGGCTGGGAATAGCGAGGAGAGGTGGTCGGAGGCGACAAGGGGGGGGCGGAAGCTCACCTCGCGCGGGGAGAACGGAGTCTCGGCAGCGGATGGCGAGGGCGGAGTGGCGGCCGGGCATCCTCACGGCCTTGCGAAGCTGAAGGTGGAGACGAGCCGGCCCGACGTGGCGTCCATTGCCCGCCGCGAGCGGCTGAAGGTGACAATGGCAAAAGTGGCTCGGGGTCACGGTGGGGAGGTGGTTCTGGTGGCGGAACGGGAGAACGGAGTGGAGGCCGGGGTAGAGCAAGGCGTGGCGATGCTAGCGGCGGTGGCTAGGGCGGAGAGGAGCGACGGCCGGACCTCGCCGGAAAGCGGCGGCGCACGGGCTCGTGGTGCGGGCGCGATTTGTGGCACGGGAGAGCTCGGGGGAATTGGGGAAAAGAGAGAAGGGAGCCCGTGGATGCTTTTTATAGACCGAGGGAGCGACGGCGAAGCCGGGGAGTGGCGGATTGGGGCGGCAACTGCCGGCGGCGTGGGCGGCATCATGGGCGAAGTGGAGCTCGATCCCGGCCCGATTTTTGGGGGAAACGTGGGGAAAGTGTAGATGAGGTGGAGGGGAACCGATTTCATGCGGTTTGGGCGCGAGGGCGCGAGCGGGAGGGGTTAGGATCGGCGGCGACGTGGGTGGATTTGGCGACGTGGGGAGGAAACGGCGGTTTCGGCTAGGGAGCTGGAGGTTGGGGGAGGAACTGACAGGTGGGGCCTCGGGTCCACCTGTCGGCGAGGGGAGGAGAGAGGAGGCTGGGGATTATGTGGACTTGGAGGAGGGGGAGCCGAGCTGGGCCGGCCCACGCGAAGAAAGGAGGGAAGGAGGGAAGGAGGGAGGGGAAGGGAGAATGGGCCGAGCCCAAAGACAAAGAGGGGATTTTAATTTCTTTTCTTTTTATTTAATTGATTAATTGACCTTTGTGTCATTATAATTACTATTATAATTACTTCTTGAGCTCCGAAAATTCATGGAAAAATCCGGAGAGTATATTAGGGCATAAAGAATATTACAAAATATTCCCGGCCAATGATTTTTAAGGGAAAATTTTAATTCTCCCATTATTTCACTTGATTAAATTGATTTAACTTTTATTTAATTTCTAGAAAATGCATTATTTAATGATTTTTAATCCCGAACGAAAATCGGGGCGTTACAGGTAAATAACTAATATAACTCTGTCAAATGAAAAGAACTACTTTGTATGGTCGCTCCATAAGAATGGTCAATTTACCGTCAAATCTATGTATGCCGCGATCATGAACTGTAATGTTCGGATAAAAAGAGAATTCTGTAGGGCTTGAAAATTGCACTAAATATCAAGGTCTTTATGTGGTTTCTTCACAAGAAAGTAATTCTAACGAAAGATAACTTGGCTAAAAGAAAATGGGGCAGGGGAAACATTGTTCTTTTTGCTGTGCACAAGAGATAATCCAACATCTTTTCTTTAAGTGTCATGTCGCTCAGTTTGTTTGGAGATGTGTGTTTTTTGCTTTTAATATCCCCCACCCCGTAACGCTAAAAACATTTTCGGTAATTGGCTTAGAGGGTTATCTAGGTCCATTAAGAAGATGATTCTAATTGGAGCTAGTGCTGTATGTTGGTCAATTTGGCATTGTCGTAATGATAAAGTTTTTAATGGTAAACAATTATCTAACCCTATGCAGGTTATCTTCATGTCTTTCTACTGGCTCCACTTTTGGTCTACGATGCTACCACAGGAGGAACATGATACTATGCGCAATGGTGCTACACTCTTGGAATCGGTAGTCAAAGGGTCTCTTATTTCACTATGGGTAGCGTAGTTCTATTAGAATTGCTAGCTAAAAATTTTTTATGTGGTTTAACGCTAGTCAATAATAAAGGGTAGTTGGGGATTTGTCCCATCACCTTATTTCTCATTTTGATTTACTTTTACCTTACCTTTTTATTACTATTAAACTTATAGTTGTGTGTCTTATGACAGAAGCCGGAGATATAATCTATTTTCATTATCTAAAAAAATCCGTTGAGTAATTTAGGCAAAACCCTTACCATCTGAAGCATCAGCAGATAAATTGAATTAAAAAAGAGAGAGAGAGAAGCCACCAAAACCAAAACAAGATAACTTGGATGGCCGGAAGGATGCCAACACCAAAACAAGACCCTCCAAGGCAACTGTATAAGGTACTATGTTAGGAGGCCATTGATGTTGACACTAAGTCTACTTCCTCCACTGTTTGCAGGACCATTCAATTATCATATATATCTTCTGTCTTGGTCATTTGCCTTATAAATCCCTATTTAATTCTGTGATAATCTTTTTTCATAATTATGCTATACAACGTTTTCCTTTCAACTCATGTTTGTACTACCTTATGCAAAATGAGTACTGCCTCTCAAATATCTTTTTTTTGCGAAGTGAGTATATGTAGCTCAACTGTCTAGGTTCTTGATGTTGAAACCTGCCCATATAGATTCAAGTCCTAGATAAAAGGGATGAATTTTTAAGATTTGAATCATGTAGTGTTTTTTTTCTTAATGGCAATTTGGAGCAAATGATTGTACACTATTGGGTCATATTATTGGGTCATATGAAATTCGTACGGAATGCCTTAATCTATATGAGTTTTTCAGGAAATTCAACTTTAGGTATAACCTCATGTGATTTTTTTTAAGTCCTTATCTCTTTAAATTCTTGCGCTTCTCTTGATTTTTCTTGTATTTTACGATCCTGTGTTTTGTACCTATTTATCTTTTTTTTATCTAAACCCTGCATTAAGAAGGAGGCTTGAGCTTGCATCAAACAAAATTATCTTGTTTGCTCTCCAGCCTCCAACTAATGCCACTAGATCCAAGATTTCCACGTTATACATACGTCAGGTTATAGATCCATCAGCCATTAGGTTGAACTTATGATAATCACTATCAAACCAGATTAACTACCATCACCTAGCCTACACCCAAACACACTAGTCTGGTTTGCTGTCCTAATACCACTTAATTGAGTCACTGATGAACCCAATGTATTTGACCAATGACCAATTCTGAGATATCCTTCTGACTAAAAACTAATTGTGAAATCCCTAGTTAAATCCTATAATTAACTTTGTGGCAAGTTTGGTCGGTCGGTTTATTTGCTCCTGCAACCTCTGCGGCCACCAACCTCACCTATAAACTTGCCACACCCCACAACGGCAACTACACGTTGCCATCAGCAAATTGAGCAGCAATAAAATGCTTAAGAATCAAGCACACGCTTGCATTCCCCACAACCGTCGTTTCAATTCACCCTCGCGTCAAGATCATCCCAGATTGCTTTAACCACCAACTCTCACTCACCTTGCCAAGAAACCCAATTCACGTCACGTCCGTTGCTAATAACCTCGTTGCGTTTTGACTAGATAGGTAGTTTGCAATGGTAGCATTACGCCATGACACAATTGCTTGGAGCTAGTTTAAAGTTTGTCTGAAAGTATATACAGTACAACACTGGTGATTAATCTACACTGTTACAATTTGGGTTCACCACCACAAATGATTCAGACTTTTTTATTATTATTATTTTTGCTCCCATTAGGTGGTGTTTGGAACTGATGAAGATAAAGATTAAGTTGGCGCACATAAAACAAGAAAGTCATTAGCACATGATTAATTAAGTTTTAATTATTAAAAAAATTGATAAATTGATATATTTGATATTTTAAAGCAACTTTAAAGTTTTCGCACGAAACGTACCGTTTAGTAGTTTGAAAAACATGCTAACGGAAACCGAGGTAAAGTCTGAATCCTAATCAGACAAGTTTACATTTTCTATACTCTTGAAATGAATATGGTAGCTCCTTTTAGCCTTATCTTAATAAAATAATGAGTATTTTTATTGTGATCTTTTACTGGTAGTCGTTGATTTATGAGTTTTATTATCGGTAGAAAAAGAAGTTATTTTGCTACATAGTAGTTGAGGTGGTAATATAAATTGATATAATCTATTGGATAGGAATATCACTACAAAAATTTATCATATAATATTATTGAATAGATTGCCATATCAACAATTGACCTATGTATTCATTGATTGGCTGATGTGGGATGATACTTGTGATGGAAAGCAATGGATGGGATTGAAAATTTCAAAACCAGGGAGAAATCTTACTCAATTGTTATATATGAATTATGAAATATATCCATGTGAAGATTTTAATTTATTTAGTAGTTGAGAGGGGGGCAGAGAGAAAGATGAGCACGAATCAAACTGCAGCCTGAAAGGTTCTTCATAACGGCTACGTTGCAACCACCACCACCTCCTCTCCTTCTTCCTCCTCACCTCTCCTCAAATGTCACTCTCACACACTCACCGCCCAATTCTTCAGCTCAAATGTTTCTTTAATTTTTTTTTGTTTTGTTTTCCTCATTGCAACCACCAACCACACGCTCCTCTTCTTCTTGGCCCAAACTCTTCCAACTCCATCTTCTTCTCCCCAAAGATCAATTGCGCAGCCGACGATCGTCGATCGATCGAATGCGCAATTGCGGGATCATCAGTTTTTGTGGCGGGTTTCTTGATCCATAAGTAGCTAAGCTGCTGCCCATTCCTTTACTTCTTTGCCAAACGCCTCCTCTAGGTGTAGGTGGCGCGTCTCCCTTGTACTTGGATCCAAAGAGACCGTGTCGTCTCGTCTAGAGTAGGTCTCTATCTAGGCTCTGATCTTGAGCCTCATTCGGAGACCATGTACTAGGCTCCATTGCCGATCTTGTCCTCTCACTCTCACCTGTCCTTGTTGCTCATGCTCACTCACAGCTCTTCTTGATCAGTTCATCAGCTCATCAGGGTCAACCTTGTCAGTGTTCTTGCTAATCTTGATCCATTGGGTTTCTTTGCCATGTTTCTGAATATATTTTTTTTCTGATATGTTGCTTGCAGCGGCAGCCATTGTTGTAGCAGGACATTTTGCCTTTTTCATGTAAAGTTGCAGTGTGACCTTGGGCTGGAGCAAGGAATATATCTCCCCAGTTCTTGATCGCCGGCAAGGTATATCGGGAATTAGATTCTTCCAGCACAAAAGATCTTCAGACAAGCAGCGGCGGCGGCGACGAAGGTAGCTTGTTCAGAGAGTGATCGGACACAATCCAGGATGTTCAACAACATCGTCTCGTCATGGAACAAGAGGAGGAGAAGCAAATCGCTCGATCAACTGAACCCTTGTGAGTGCAACCTGCAACCGCAAGAATTGTATGTGTTCTTTGTATCACATCTGAAACTCTGTTTTTCTGTTTCTTTTTTCTTTTGCAGGGGTGTACAAGCCGGCAGAGCTATGGCATTGGCAGATGAAGGAGCAGGGGACGGCGGCGGCGGCGCTGCCGCCGCCGCCGGCGAAGAAGAGGAGCAGCTGCTCCATGGTGTTCACGCTCAAGGAGATGGAGGAGGCGACCAACATGTTCAGTGAGAGGAACCTCATCGGCAAGGGCGGATTTGGGCGCGTTTACAGAGGAGTTCTGAAAGATGGACAGGTGAGTTCATTCATTTTTCAGCAAAATTCAGTTCAGAGTTTCAGGTTGAGAACTTCAGAATTGTTGATAAATGATAAGTATATTTTCGATTTGAGCGCATAAGACATTACTACTAGCTTTGTCATGTACTGGCATTTGCATCCGTAATTTTCAGACAATTATTGGCACCACCAGCCTCATCAACGGTTGGAATCGGAAGAGAATTTCCTGTCTCGGTTGCACGTATTTGGCCCCAATATTGAATCCTGTAGGTGACACATTAACTGAGCTAGAATTTGATTAGTCCTTCAGACAGCCAGGATCAGTACGGTGGTGACATTTCGCCTTGGCATCAAACTCAAGAAAAGGAAGTGCCAACCACCAGTCAAATATGATCAAACCACCGATCAATCCCCAAGAACAATCTTGAAACACAAGCTCTGAACTACAGGGCCCCTTTGAGATTTATGTAAGAATTTTATAGGATTTAAATCCTATAAGAAATTTTTCTGTTTGACTATTTTGATTCAAAGGATTGAAGCTTTCCAAATTCTATGAAATTCCTGTGGAGTGACACTTTGCATGTGGATTTTTCAATGAGCAAGGGCTCTAACCTTTTGGAAAATTTTCAATGAGTCTATCTCTCTCATCCGATTCCTATGTATTTCTTGCGGTCTAATCAAACGATCATTCCTATGTTTTTTCTGTGTTTTGCAATTCTCTGTTTTACACTTTCATTTTTATCAAAATCCTATGTTTTTTCTATTCCTCCGTTTTTTTAACCCTGCGATTTAGAGGGGCCCTCACTGAATTAGTACAAGTAATTCAGCGGTTTCAGAACTTTGAGTTACATTGCTTAAGAGATTGTTTACAGCCTAGTAAAAATGTTGTTTGTGATGATTCTGAAGATTGTTGCCATCAAGAAGATGGATCTACCTACATCGAAACAAGCCGACGGCGAGCGCGAATTCCGAGTAGAGATCGACATCCTGAGCAGGTTAGATCACCCCAATCTGGTCACTCTGATCGGCTATTGTGCTGACGGCAAGCACCGGTTTGTCGTCTACGAGTTCATGCCCAAAGGCAACCTGCAAGACATCCTCAATGGTAATTTCTCAGCTGCCAAAAATGTTTATCTCATTTTTCAATTATACAAAACCAAAAAAAAAACATAAGGTTTCTACAGGTATTTCGTATGAAACTGTTCAATTGTACAAAAGTCGAAAAGAAAATTATGTACTACCAGTAGAAAACACCGTAAATTTTGTGTCAGAGCTTATGGACATTTTTGTTGCAGGGATAGGAGAGGTGAGGATGGACTGGCCGGTGCGGCTGCGAATAGCGCTGGGCGCCGCGAGGGGGCTCGCCTACCTCCACTCCACCACCGCTGTCGGCGTCCCCGTCGTCCACCGCGACTTCAAGTCCAGCAACATCCTCCTCACCGAGCACTTTGAGGCTAAGGTAAAAAAAAAAATTACAGTAAAAATTTCGCTGCAAATATGCAGTATAAACTTCACCGTGATGTGTTCTTGGTGATGGCAGATCTCTGACTTCGGGTTGGCCAAGCTGATGCCGCAGGATATCGACCTGTACGCCACCACCAGGGTGCTTGGCACCTTCGGCTACTTCGATCCGGAGTACGCTCTGGTGAGCACAGATCGCCATGGGCATGGCTGATGAATCTATTTTTCCCCAATTACATAGCAGACACGTAAGCACGCAAACCACTACGCACGCATCACACTCACATTCCCGTAAATGCACCCTATAATTAACACTCTAAGAGACGGAAACCAACGACATGTTCCTGATCAGTCTCACCGGCATTTCGTTGAAAGCCTACCTACATGTGCGTAATATCCGCGGAAGCACTGGTGAAGATGTCGTTGAAGAGGATCCTCATGTGTGTTCATGGCTGCTTTCCTGTGTGTTTCTTGTCGTTGCAGACGGGGAAGCTGACGCTGCAGAGCGACGTGTACGCGTTCGGCGTCGTGCTCCTGGAGCTCCTCACGGGGCGGCGCGCCATCGACCTCAGCCAGGGCACCCCGGAGCAGAACCTCATCGTGAGGATGCAGCAGGTGTCCGGCGACCGGAAGCGGCTGCGCAAGGTGGTGGACAGGGACATGGCGAGGTCGTCCTACACGCCGGAGTCGGTGTCCATGTTCGCCGGCCTCGCCGCCCGCTGCGTCTGCTTCGAGAGCGCCGGCCGCCCCTCCATGGCCGACTGCGTCAAGGAGCTCCAGTTCATCATGTACGCCAACATGAAGATCTGATCGCTGCATCCATTGCCAATCTTCGTTTGGCTCGTTCATATCAATCATTTGATTACTCCGGCGAAGACGATGGCGGTGGAGAAGAAGAAGAAGAAGATGATGATGATGATCTTGGTGTTTGTACAGAAAATTTTTTGTGGTTTTATTGCGGAATTTTCTGCCCAAAGTCCAGAGAAAAAAAGAAAGAGCGGGGGCTTTGTGGTGGTATAAAAATTTCTCACATATTTGTTCCTGTTGGAAATGACTCAAGCTGAGGTAGCTAGAGCGAAATCATTTTTCTTTCAAAATTTGACTAATTAAACTTTGGAACTATACTTGTGTGGAAAGTGCACACGTTGAATCTGAAGGCCAGGAATCAATCCCCAATGCCCAATCTCACAAAATTCTGGGTAAAGTACACGAGTGATCTCTAAAATTATACAGATATGTTATGTAGATCACTTAACTCTAAAATTGTATTATTTTCATATGTCTTAACTTGTATTTGGTATCATATAAGTTCAAACGGGCTCCACTAACATGTAGACTCCCCCAGCATGCCACGTCAGCGCATGGAGCGGGTTGGAGTTCATTTGGATCTATATGACACCTAGGACAAATATAGTATCCGAAAACACATTTTGAGAGTTAAGAAATTTAGATGACACACTCGCACAAATTTAGAGACCGTCCGTGCGCTTCACTCAATTGTTATCGTAAATGTATCCACACTTTTGTAATATTTATGTCCAATAGGATTTAAACATAGCATTTTGCTTCCCCAACTATACAACCTATCTATCTATTTATGGGCCTATCTATTTATGGGCCTGTTCACTTTTATGCAATTTTCAACCTTACCAAATTTTAGTAAAGTTGTTAAAAAATAGCTACATTTAGTTTGCTGCCAAATTTTGATAACTATATAAGAAATCCTGTCAGTTACCAAAATTTTGGCAATGCTAAAACTTGGTAAGATTTTTTTTTGGCATCAAAGTGAACAAGCCCTATATATCCTATATAGTTGGAACTAAAAGAATGACATACATTGAGCCACATCATCTAGAAAATAGTAGTCATTGGATCGCTTTCATGTTTTGATCTCAAACCATCCATTTGTCACATGCATTTACAACCCACAAAGTGTAGTTATTTCTATAATAAATCATCCAGTTGTCAATGTCATATACATTTATAACCTATAAAGTGTAGTTATTATATAAAGTTTTATGTAGATTGAACAATGCACCTAGAAAACATGTGAATTCTTCACCCTTATCGGTTTACAACTGTGAATTCTTTTCGAATCATACATGGAATTTCACATAATTTGGTTCTACGGTAGGGATACAGGTAGAGAGAGAGAGAGAGGAAGAAATGGATAACTGATATGAGGAGCCATTATTTACCTTTATTTTTTTTCTTGCTGACATATGGGTCCTATGAGTGGCACGTAGGACGAAACCGCTATTCAAACAGCCTAGGACTCGATTTGCTCTAGTTTTTGAAGATTGAGGGGCCGTTATACCCGGATCGCGGGAGGTGATTCAATCAGAGGCATGAGTTTAAGGAGGACAAATAGACTTACTCCAACCCCAAACGGTCCCAGCCCGGGCCAGGTAGCAGGCCCAAACGGCCCAATTCAACCAGAGGCGGATTCGGTTTCTCGCCTCCGCCTCTCCTCGGCTACATATGCAGCAGCAACATCTCGCCGGCGGCGACCAACAACGGCGACCTCGCCATTGCATCGTCGCCGTCGCAACGACAAGAGTCGCCGAGGCATCCGATCGAGAGAGCAAGCAGAGAGAGAGAGAGAGAGAGAGAGAGAGAGAGAGGCAGGGAGGCGGGCGTTCTTGCCTTCTTGCTGGCATGGACAGGTTCGCCGCCCTTGTCTCCGGCCGCCGTGCCGCATCCGCCGCCGCAGCCGCGGCCGCCGAGGTGGAGGTGGAGGAGGAGAGGGACGAGGCGTACCTCCGCATCCGGCTCGAGGAGATCGTCATCGTCAAGAACGACGCCCACGACGACGCCCTTTCCGCCGCCGCCTCCGCCTCCGCGGCGCGTGTCGCCAACAACGGCGGCGGCGCCGTCGCCGCGTCGTCGATGGAGAAGAGGTGCGCGTGCGGCGACGCCGCCATTGACGCCGCCCCCGCGCTCGGCTGGGGGTCGGCGACAGCGGCGGCGGCGCGGGGCGCGTGGACGACCGTGACGAGGATCGTCGGCCTCGACTAGGCGCGCGCGCCTTCGCCTTCGCCGTCGTCGATCGTCTCCTCCTCCGGCGGAGAGGGATCAACAGCTGACCAACTCTTCTTCCTAGGTGTTCTTGATTTTTCTTGTGGGGTTTTTAGGGTTTCGCTCGATGCTTACCATGTTCTTGGACCTTGGAAAAATTGGGGTTCGATTCTTGGACGGTTTGGGGGTTCTTGCATATCCTAGCTAGTTCATTGAATCGTTGTGTTCTTCAAAACATGAAAGAATTCTCGGTAACTGCGCGGATCAATTCGAGATTTCTCGATTTCTTGATGTTGATCGTTATTAGTAACATTTGAAGAGGAAGATTATTCATGGTTGATCGGTCAATGATTACTCTTCAACCCGTTGCCGATTCAATTCGCCTCGAAAGCAAAGCTTTTCATGCATCGCTTGCGGCACGATTGACTCATCTATGAATGAATATATTCTTCTCGATAAGTTAAGAACAGGAATTAAACACGATTAAGCAGCGGGACAATGCTAGCTAGTCAAAGCGTTTGGACCACCACACCTGAATTCTTCCTAATAAGGAGACGATTGGGCAATCACATTCCGGTATAGGAATAATTAATCTCTCGTTTGCTTGACCAAGATAACATAGGAGGTCATCTTTACCAGACCATCGAAATAATAACCCCTAAATACAAAAGAAAAAACTCATTTAGGGTTTTGCATGCTCCAATATTTTTTTTAAAAAAATATCCTTATACTACCTCTATCCCAAAATGTTTGACGCCGTTGACTTTTTTAAAAATGTTTGACCGTTCGTCTTATTGAAAAAAATTTAAGTAAATTGTTAATTCTTTTTCTATCATTTGATTTATTATTAAATATATTTTTATGTATACATATAGTTCTACACATATCACAAAAGTTTTTGAATAAAACGAACGGTCCAACATGTTTAAAAAAGTCAACGGTGTCAAACATTTAGGGAAGGAGGGAGTACATTATTTTCCAAAAAAAAAAACAGCATCTGTTATACCACTCCACATTGGCTTAAGGACACATCGCAAAAGACATAATCGGGGACTCAGAAGTCAAAAGGTGGCAACTTCCTCAGCATCTGTTAAACCAGTGGCCCTATATACATAAATCATTCTTAGGATTCTCTTAAAGGTGGAGCATTATCGGCTGGCTGATTAACAATTTGAAGGGCTCAAATTAAGATGTTGAATAGATATATAACACACGACCCTACATGCATGTCAAAAACTCTATTTATTGCGTTAAACTTGTTGAAGATCACAAGAAGTAAAATCTTAATTACCAAGCTAGGCGAATCTAGAAACATAAGTTTAATTAGGCCACCGGTGTTAGGCTACACTAATCTCGCTCGATAGATAGCTTAATAATCAATGTATGACTAATTTATTCATAGATTTCGGTAGACGTCGTTAAGGTCGGCTCAGTTGACGATCAGTCCCTAGTCCCTACAAGCCACACCTTAATCAAACATCCCCTGTGCTATATTTTGATATGCGATGCATAATGGCACTCCAAAAATTTGTCTTAAAAACGTACTCCCGGTGACCCCTTTAAAGATGTAGGAGTAGTAATTAACTTTAAAGCCATTCATCATATTACACCTCACACGACCTACTTTCTCCGTTTTATATTATAAGATTTTCTAGCACTGTCCATATTTATATATATGTTAATAAATCTAAACATAATATATGTGTTTAGATTCATTAAGATCTAAACTAAAACGTCTCGTAAAACAGGAGTACTATCTTGCGGGCCCCACTGGCCAGTGTCTTTGTGGCCCCACCAGCTGACCAACCCCCTGTAGCTAGTCCAAGCGTGCACCTCACACCCACACTCAACGCGAGATCGATCGATCCCCCCTCCCTCTCCGATTTCTCCTTTCCGACGATAAAAAAAAAAAAGCCCAAGTCTCGCCGCCGCCCCCCACATGGCGCAAGGCACCGCGCCCTCCGCCGGCGGCGGCGCCGCCGTCCCCACCCCCTCCGCCGCCGCGGCGGTCTCCACCACCACCACGACCCCCCCGGGCACCCCCCGCGCCACCGCCGCCTCCCCCCAGGCCGGGTACTACGCCGTCGAGCTCTACTTCGACCCGGCGCTGGAGAACCAGGTGCTCAAGGCGTGGAACGCGCTGGCGCGGCGGCAGCTGAGCAGCCGCCTCATCGACGCCGCCTCCCGCCCGCACCTCCCGCTGCTCCACCTCCCCGCCGCCTCGCTCCCGGACCCGCTCCGCCTCGCCCCCTCCCTCCGCGCGCTCGCCTCCCGCCTCGACCCGCTCCCGCTCGCGCTCTCCTCGCTGGCTTCCCCGCCGTCCTCGCCCGACGCCGGTGTCCTCTTCCTCGCCCCCACCCCGTCCGCCGCGCTGCTCGGCATCCACGCCCAGCTCTGCGAGCTCCTCCGCAAGGACGCCGGGGTGGAGGTCCCCGACGTGTTCCGCCCCGACCACTGGGTCCCCCGGTGCGCCGTCGCCGTCGACGTGCCCCGCGGGCGCATGGCCGAGGCCTTCTGCGTGCTCCGCGAGCTCAAGCTGCTGCCCGTCTCCGGGTACGGGATGGATATCGCGTTGGTGGAGGTCGGCCCGGTGGTGAGGGAGCTCGTGTCCTACCCTCTCGGCGGCAGCGGCGGCGCTGGAGCCGACTGAGAGGTAAAGCATCTGTTCGTCCCGTATCTCTGGCTCGGTTTTGTGGTAGAAGAAAGTGGATCTGAATGCTGAGATTTGGATGATTAGTTCGATGATCTACCAAACACACTGTTCTGTTTTCCAAACCTCTCAGTCTTCTTGCTGAATCTGGATCAGTAGGGGGTTAACAGTAAGATACTGTTAACTCGGAGGTTGATATTATTGAGGATTGTTGAACTAGAAAATACTAATAATCAGAGACCAGACCTTTTGCTGATGGATTTACCACAACTGCTAGCTAGATAATGGATTTATTTTTGTGGAATAACTAAGTTAGTCACTGTTGAAAAAATTAACTTCAAAGATGCTGATATGCATATATGATTTTTTAAATTCAGTTAAGTTGGATAATCCTCACTGATCTTTGTAATTTGCAAAAGGTTGAGTAACAAAAGGTAAGCTAAGCAGTAAGCACCAAATTGCATTCTGCATTGCTAAATTGGAAGTGTTTCACATTCATGTTAAATCTGTCCATTGGCTCTAGTGAATACCATGTTCTGTGCATAACCACATAAGCTCTGTTATATTAAGGGTACACTCTTATACTGCTAGGGTGCTAGTTGCTTGTAAGAAAAGGTAAAATTTGCCATATTCTTATGGCCTAAATTTTATTTATATGTCTCAGGATCAACATTGAATGTGCATGGCAAAGATGTGGGTATCACTCTAGAGTAGGACATAATCCAGCTGCACACTTGCAGTGTCCAAGCAACCTGTTAGGAAATTGTTGACAGTAGCTTGTACACTGAGGTAGGCTGTAAGGTATTATGGTTTGTCAAAGTTGGTTGACCAAACTCGACATGCATTTATCATATTCAGAAACGTGAGCTGCTCGAGACCATTTAGGTGTCACCAGAATCTTTATTATCATGATAGTTGCTACATATCCAAATCAACAGAAATGCTTGCAAACAAAAATGTAGATAAAAAGCTGCAGGTGAATATTTCTGTGGAACTGTTTTTTTTTCTCAATATTTGTGTGCTATCAAACTAGATCTTACTATCATTGACCAAGCTGACCTCTTCCTGGAAAGGAATCTAAGTGTTGATTGAGACTATGAACCAAAATACCTAATCACTAAGTAACCAGTTGATTTCCTCAAAATGAGTCAAACTAAATATGTGTAACACCAAATCACGTGACTCCTTCAAAACACATTGCTGCAAGCTGTATGCCTGTATATACAAAATTGTAGCCCCCCCCTCCCCCCCCCCCCACGCTAAAAATTGCAAGTAGTGTGCCGTGGCCATTATGCTTGTATCGTGGGGATTTCAGACATTAACAAGGCACATGACTATAAGCACTGGTATTCTGAAAGTAAGTATTATCAATTATCATGCTTATATTTGGTTTATACCGTAAATAATAAAATTGTTTTTTGAGATGTCCTTGTTATTCAGTTGCTGCCTTGCTGGTAAATTGTTTTCTTGTAAAGTATCTTCTATTCTTCTGATTGCTAGAATACTGCAACAAGTGATATGTTTTGATATTATTTTTTTTCAAAATTGCCTTGTGGTCTTTTATGTAGTGTTGGTTTCATGACACCACAAAAGTTTGTGATTTAAGAACTGATTCTCTGGAAGTTGATTGTGGCTTTTGACCATCTCAAGCCTAGGATGAACTAGGGAATTATGATATCTCGTCTTGCGGCCTAGCACCATTAGTCCGTCTAATATTGACCACGCACCAGATCAGTTTCATGTTAGACAATTACTTTGGCATAATGACAGTACTTGGAGCTAGTGTGGAGGAAGGTGGTGCCGGGTGTACAACTGACTTGCAAAGTAACAAGTGCTAACAGGACCATTTAGGCCATTTCTGTTGTCGATAGTTTTGAGTAGTAATGAGATTACTAAGCTAATTACCTTAAATCCTCTGCTTTCATTTGTTTTATCATGTTATTCTGTATGAGTTTTGGGGGTGAAAACTAGAACATGCCATATGTGCTTGCATATATACTTTAGCTAGTGTTGCAGTCATTGATTTTGTTGCCAACAGCATTTGGACTTCGGAAATGTTGCAAGGAACAGCTGCACATTTATCACAAAGAGAAATAAAAGTGTTGCACAGCAGCATTTCAATTTGTGCAACATCTATGTCAAGAAAAAAGAAGTTCTGCAACATTTCATAAAACTACTTGTAAGAAATCCAAACAACTCTTGGGACAAAATTTACGGGACAAAATTTACACATTTTCAACACTTTGTCCGATTTCACTGATATGTCCCTAGAATACAAAGAACACCTTATTCAACATGTTCATGAGTGCCAAAAAAAAAAGGATCTTGATATCACCAATGTATTGGCCAGATAATGCCACATGGAAAGCATGTTCCATTGAGCAATTGCTGTGTTCTTGCGGGTGAATCTGACGAACGGTTATTTGCAGGTGTTGTTAATCTGTACAATTTGAAGAGCATCCTGGGTGGACAATCATATTTGACAAGGACATGATAATTATTTTCGTTGTCCTTTTTACCTGGTTCGGGGAACTAAACTGCAAAGAAGGCTAGATCATACTGTATCCTAACACATACAGTATTTTTCTAATTATTTATTTAATCTTTTGGTTGATAATGTTCCCCCACAATTGTAGAGACCTGACAAATCATTACCAATTCAGGTTTGTTGTAATGCATTATCGATTGTTGTGTGCCTTGAAAAAATACTACTCCTAGTCGTGCAATCCTCATTCTGGAGTCTCCAGATTTGTTTGCATTGTCGACGTGACTTAGCTGGGCAAGAAAGCCTTGGTATCATGGTATGCCAGTTTGGCGGTACACTGCATGCAATGCTGATACTGGAGCGAACCCAGTTGTGTACACATGCTAATTTATAGTGAAATGCAGCTGCTTTTTCTGGTAATTTGTTGCCATATTATTCTTATCTCCCTTGCTTCAATAGCTTATGTTCTTGATTAGTCAGCGGCAACCTATTTGTGCATGCTTGTTTGAGCCGAGGTAATTTTGAGTTTTAGAATTAATTAAGGATTTTTATTATCTTTTTCGTCACTTAGTTTCAGCTGTTACTAGATCACTGTATTCGAAAATTATTTTTTTTGGTAGATCTGTCGTATATATTTGATTTGTGTTTGTAAGTCATAGTGAACAAAAAAAAATATTTTCAAGCAGTACACGAAGTAGGGATGGTAATTTTGCCCATGGGTCCGGCGAGAACGACATATTTACTAATAATAAGTTATGATGTAATTCAAATTATTGTTAATAAATGATAATTTGGTAAATTATTGATTTTATTTCTCTTTATTAAATTATGTATCTTTCGAGTTACTCCCTCCATTACAAAATATAAGTCACAACCACCCTTAATCTAAAGACCAAGAAATAATTATTATCATCTTGTAGTTTGGATCATCCTAATAAATACTAATGCATGCATCCAATAGGATTAGATAACATGAGAGTGGAGGATTTAAAAAAGTAATAATTTAATGGAGAAGATGTCATAGTTAATTGCATGTTTGCATATATGCCTTATATTATGGAACATCTAAAAAAATGGTTGTGCCTTATATTATGGAATAGAGGGAGTATTATTCATGTGAGATCCATTAGGACCTGCCGGGCATATCCGTGCCTGTCGAGCATGGGTACGGGCACGGAGTTTTACCCGCTAACCCTATTAGGTAGGGTTCGGACAGGTGACGACGAGCATGGGATCGGGTATAGTTTTGCTCTACCCGTGCCCCACCCAACCCTTTGCCATCCCTGGACGTGAGTGCACCTCGGAGACGCTGCGATGCTGTGGTGACTGATGACTGTTGCTGCCACTCGCCACCAAACGGGAGTAAGAGCATTAATTGCTTGATTAATTCGTTAATTAATTAACTAGTAGGCTGCTGATGCTGATCATGGGGACAAAAGGTCAGCGTTTAGCTTACGGAGATCCACATTTGATGGCACCGGTTCCGGGAGAAATCCCATGCTCTGGGGTTAAAAATTTGGGAGCTGGCCTTTTACAGCCGTAAAACACTACTTAAAACACACTCTAATTAAAGTTACATCAATACTAATAATACTAATAATAAAACTGCACTAGAGAAAAAAACATAGGTGAAATTTGAGAATCATCTGCAAAATCACTATTTCTTTTTTAAAAAATTTTGTTTGGACGAATTTTGTCATTTCGAGGAGTCTCTCCATCGTTTGACGAGCTGGAGGAGGATCTCGTTCCACGTGTCGATGGGGCCCGGGAGGCACCAGTGCACGCAGTCGTTGGGCACCCGCGCCCTCTCGCCGCCGGCGAACGGGAACGCGTTCATGTACGGCCCCGGGTGCCCGTCGCCGCGCAGCGCCGCCATCGCCGTCACCTCCAGCGCCTCCACCTCCACGCGACCGGGGGCGCGCACCCTCGCGTCCGCCGCCGCCGCCGCCACCTCCTCCGCCTCCGCGCGCCCCATCTCCCGGTCCATGTACCCCACCTCCTTCTCCCCCGGCGCGTACGGCTCCGACCGCGCGCACGCGTCGCGCGCGTCCCACTCCCCCTCGAAGTGCGCCGGCGAGAACGTCGTCACCACGGCGAGCTTCTGCTGCTGCGACGGGGAGCGGGCGGCGCGGGTGATGACCTCGCGGAGGGCGTTCTTGACGGCGAGGCGGAACACGCCGAAGAACCCCGTCTCCGTCCGGTTCGGCTCCGGGCAGTGGTGGCAGCCGATCACCTCGCCGCGCTCGTAGTACATCGCCGGGTGGAGGAACCAGTGGCCGGCGGAGAGGACCACCACGTCGATGCCGTCGAGCTCCCCCGCCCACCGCTCGTCGGGCTGGTCCAGGTAGAGCCGGTTGTGGTCGAGCCCCCCCGCCCCCGCCGCCGCCGCCGACGACGACGACTTCTCCGTGCCGTTCACCAGGAACGGCGACCAGAACACCGAAACCGTGGCGTTGTGCGACGGGAACACCCACCGCCGGAACTTCCGCGCCTCGTCCCCGTCCCCACCGTCCCCGCCGTTGCCGCCGCGCACCAGCTCGGCGGGGAACCCCGAGGCGAGGAGGCAGACGAGCGACTCGCACTGGTTCCGCGCCAGCGAGTCTCCCACGAACGCGACGTGCCGCCCGCGCACCAGCTCCAGGAACTCCCCCGGCGCGAACGGCGGCAGCGCGCACCCGCCGCCGCCGCGCGGGCGCCACCGCCAGTGGAGGTACCCCGTGTCGGGCCGCCCGTGCGCCATGCAGTTCTGCCCGCCCTTGATCGTCGAGCCGCAGCTCGTCCCGTTGTACCGCGGCGCCGACGCGCTCCGCACCCACTCCCCCTCCGAGTAGTCGCACCGCGGCGCCGCCTTCCTCGCCACCGCCACCGCCGCAACCGGCGGCGTGGTGGAGGTGGAGGTGGTGGCGAGGGGAGGAGGGGGAGGGGAGAGGAGGAGGTAGTGGAGGGCGGCGAGGGGGAGGAGGGCGTAGAGGGCATAGGCGAAGATCCGCTTGGGGAGGGGGAGATGGTGGCGAGGCGTGGAGGCGGCGCCCATGGCGAAGGAGGAGGTCGAGAGCGGGCTTGCTTGGCTATCTTTGGGCAGGAGCAGCTTGAGAGTTGGGAGAGTAGTGGGTTAAAGAAGGGGGATGCACACGTTGGTTGGATACTTGATACTAGATTATTATTATTATTGATGAGTATTGTTGCCCTACAAATTTTGCATTAACTAAAGTTTGACAATCGTTTTAGATTTTTTTTTGTTGACTAGTATTTGCTTAAAATTGTTATTACAGTGGTTTTATTATTATTTTGGTTACTACATAGTTTTAAAAGCCTATGTACATAGTACTTTCTTGCGTCAATGAATGATTGATGGTTATGTTGTGGATTGGCTCTTGTAGCTCGTAACATTGTGAACAATATAAGCGTGGAATGATTTATTAGGATATTAGTGCTTAAAAAGCCATCTGCAATTGACCTTTTATTATTTTTAACCTTCTTAATTCTTAATTTTAAAAACACTCCCAAAACTTATTCCTAAATTGAAACTTTTTAGCCATAACACCCTGCCTAGCGTGACGAAATAACGCAACCATATTTGGTTGGTGTGGTAATATTGTTCTGCCTAGTAGGCAGAACACAAATATTTGGATTTGAAAAGTATTTTTTTAGGAGGATTGTTTTTAGAATTTAAAAATTAAGAGGTTTAAAACTTAGGCAAAATAACCCGATTAGTATAGAACTAAAAGCGACGTGACAAACGAGCATCGAACATGTTTTAGACATATGATAGAGTTTTACAGCACAAATACAGAGCTACTGAGACAAAGCCCTAATTGTTCTAGGATTCGCTCCATAATCATGTTATCCTCTTAACTCGTAATTTTACAGAAAATCAACGACTCATCAGTTGAACCCAACGCTTTGGTAATTTTTAGCTTCACACTCTACTTTGTCTGCATGATCAGGCTCAAGGCCCCCCGTCCTTTCTAGAGGAAGTGGCGGAGCCAGAATTTTTTCAAACCTAGGGCTAAATTAGTTGAATATATATAATTTTGCTTTTTATCTTCTAGTTTTTTGAAGTTTTAGAATAGAATTTTAATGAATATTTAGGATCAGTAGTAGGGCTGCAGCCCTAGCTGCCCTACTCTGTCTCCGCCCCTGGTAAGAGGTGCACATTTGTATAGTAGAGTAGAAATACTTCTAGATAGTATATATATGTCGGGGTTATGGATACCACATACCTGATAGTAGTTTACTAGATCTCGGCAGGACCCACCACATACTATGTCTTATACGGAAACAACCTTCGGATATAGGAGGAGTTCCGGTTAAGGAAAGACGACTAGAGTTCTACATGGAAACGATAAGGACTACTCGGATTGTATCCATATTGGTTTCCCTAGTTCTATTTAGACAAGGGGACACCTATGGGTATAAATACAAGGCCCCCTAGGAGGAGAGGTGACACGGAACAATAGATCAAGACACAAGATCAGCATACAAGCCAACATACGCCAAAACAAGACGTCGGATATCGACTTCAGAGATAAGCATGGCTAGTCCCCTACGGTGTCCACGGATACTGTCAGGAGAGACATAGCGCTATCTTTGATCTCGCCGGATGCGGATTCGAGGAGGAAGGCTACACTATTGTCGACTACGGATTGGTTTTATGGCCGCCAAGTCGACAACAGATAGATATGCTACCCCAAATATTGTACTGGTGTGATTATGATGAATAAAAGCAACGACCGGCTTCGGCCAACATGAGTAGGGTTATTACCTGACAATTCAAGGGCCGAACCTGTATAAAAATCCTCGTTTTTATCTTTTTTTTACTACAAACTCGCATATATCCTAGTACCAACGATCCCCATACTATGCAAATACCGGAATCGCGACATCAAACGTCGATAATATAGTTAGTTCTCTTTGAGAGATTTTTAATAAGTTGTTGTTGTTTCTTAAGCAAAGATCGAAATTTTATGTGTGATGATTTGTTCGTACGTACCCTCCTTTTATCTCTGTCTCTACTATTATAAAAATTAAAGATGTTTTTATTGGTACTTTGGTACGTCATCTGTGTATGAGTCAGTTTTTAAGTTCATTCGCTTTTGAAAATACATATCCGTATTTGAGTCTGTTTTTAAGTTCGTTCGCTTTTGAAAATACAAAAGCAGTCGTATAAGAAATCTCTTAAAACATGCTAATTTGAGATGAATGTCAGACTCATAATTGTAGCCTATGATTTTTAAAAAATATTCAAGTGAATTCATATAGTGAATTTCAAAACGTAGATTAAAATAGTATTCACCCGTTGCAACGCACTAGCACTAGTACATAGAAAACGTGAAATTGGCATGTTAGAGAAGACGTGGCAGGCAGGCCGCCCCGTACGGTGCTCGTGGCTGAAGCCCGGCCGGCCTGGAGCCCAGGAGGGCAGGAGAATCATGGCCCGCACTCCCCACGCGATCACGGCATCGACCGCACGTTCTCCGCCCATTCCAATGCCGCAGGCAGTGTGTGTGTTCCAGGCACCGACAAGGTCGCCGCCCAGAAAAAAAGAGTATCCATTCTCTAATCGAAGCTGCGTAGTACTCCTCCATAGCGCTAGGAGAAGTGGAGTAGATTGTAAAGACCGATGCTGGATCCTGCCTTAACTAGCGAGTGTACGTGCTACTCAACGTATCTCATCCCTTGCTTAGCATTTCATCAACATATATAGCGGGGTACCAAAGACAAAAGCAAAATTCAGAAGGAAGTAGCTATATAATAGTATTTGATATACTCCCTCCCTCCCTAAACATTTGACCCTAAACATTTGACGCTGTTGACTTTTTTAATATGTTTGACCGTTTGTCTTATTTAAAAACTTTTGTGCTTTTGACAATAGGACGAACCTTGTCTATAATGGTTTGTCCGTATTTCGATCCAAAGCACAAAAGAAAACCTTTAGCGTTGGAACCGTAAAAAGAAAAGCTAGAATTGCATAACCACAATAGCAGCTGTACATATCTTAATTTTCAATACGAGTGGTTTTGTTGTGCATGCCACGGGAGAAACACCACTCCAAACACTAGTTATTAACTTATAAATTGAACTAAGTTTTTAGGGATGAGCAACCAAAGATTCTAATAGAGTGCACTCACTAACTGAGAGTATCCATGGAGTGTCTCTGGAGAACCGTCCTCACAGTGAACAGTGAAGGATACCCCTGCATGATAGCTTCAAAATCTGGGGAAATTTGAGGGTGCCGGTTGAAGAGACGCAGCCCACAATGGGTGTCTCGGCCCAAATAGCCCCGCGCACAAATGTCATCTGTGCCCCTCCATGGTAGCCCATCTCCATGCATTCTACCAAATAAACCATTTGCAACTAATGCCCAGTTCTTGCCTAGTAGCTTCTTGCAGGTCTCATCAATCATCACTCATGTTCTTTTGACCACTAGAACCCAGATAAGTCCAATGTGCCCACCAAGCACCGCCGCTCGTCGCCGCCTCCCTCCTCTCCCTCCCCAACCGCCGCCGCAGCCTCCCTCCTCGCCCTCCCCAGCAGCCGCCTCCTCCTCCCTCCGCCAGCAAGGGCGGCCGACGGCGCGCGGCACAACAACGACTAGCAGCGCGCGGGGCGTGGTGGCCGACAGCAAGCGGCACACCGAGTGCCCCGCTCGTCACCGCCCGCACCTCGGCTTCATTGCCTCCTTCCAGCCCATCGACGCCCTTGAGAAAACCGTCCGCCCCAGCCTCGTCTTGTCCAGATCGCCGCTCGCCTCTGTCTGTCCCGCAACTCTCTCCCTCTCTCCTGCCACCTCCGTCGCGCTCGCCGCCGACTCTGCCCCTCTCCCTTCACCCTTCCCCGCCTCTCTCTCTCTCTCTCTCTCCCTCCGCATGGCGAATGGCGCATGGGGTGGCTGACGGCGAGCGGCGGCGGAGCCCTCGAAGCAGACCCCATGGAAGTTGGTGGCGGCGACCCTGGAAGCGTCAAATCCGGTGCGTCGTGGGTGGATCTCACCGCCGCCCGTCATCACCGCCTCTCTCTCCCGTCACCGCCAACGGAGAGCGACGCGCGCGACGCGTTGGCTGCGGCGAGCGGCGTGAGGGGTCTGTCGGCCGGCGACGAGTGGCGTGAGCGACGCCAGATCCGCTCATCGCCGCACTTTCCCATTCTCTTCCCCGCCGACTCCGGCTCGTCCACCACCTCGCCGCCTCCAGCTTTGACCAAGGGTGGAAAGGGAATACGGGTGTGGGGAGCAGTGTCCACAAGCTATGGCGTGCCCAACGCGGCTCCTTGCTCGGTTTCTTTGCCAAAAATCGCTGAGGGGCGCGTCCCCCTGGAAGAAAACGCGCGCCTCTCTCAGGAGCCCGCTTGAACACAAAAAGTAACGGCCGTGAGCAGGGGCACGGCTCGAAGACACCCATTGCTGATGGCATCATACAGCTTTAGAAAAAATAAATAAAGTACACTATCCACCAAAGTACTTTTATTAAAGGGTGAATAGCTAATTTAGTCCCCGAAGGCTCACTTTGGTCATTCAGGTTTTATTTTTTTCACATAGGTCCTCTAAGTATTTGTTTTGGCCTAAAATCATCATTGGGCCCACTTAATATGTCATATGGCTATTTTTAGTCATCAATTCTATTAAAAAATGTCCCTTTTGCCCTTAACTTGTATACAACTATACACTAGAAAAAAGAAAACCAAAATGAATAAACAACATTGCATATATACTTCCCATTATTTCAACATGTGCACATGGAAATTGAGCCTAATGGCTATCGTATACACTTGCAAGTACATAATTTATTTTTATTTTATCTATAAAAAGAATTCATTACATGCAATTTTTTCTCTTATATATGTGAATGAGAGAGCATAAGTGTCATTTATCAAAAGAGTTGTTGGTTATGTGGGTTCAAGGATAAGTTTGAATTAAAATAAAAACTTAAAGGACTAATATGGACACATTGAAACATTAAGGACTAAACTGATCCTTGCATAAAACTTGGAGGACCACTTTAACTATTCACTCTTTATTAAAAAGGCAACCAACAACTGCTTCTTTTTCCCATTCGCAAAATTCAAAATTCAAATCGCTCTAGCGCAAAAAGCCCACGGCCTCTGCCTTGTGGGCCCACTAGTCCCCGACCCAAGCGGTTTTAACCCACCTCCAGCCCGATTCATTTCTGACCCACGGCCTCTCACCTCGTCTCGACCCATCGGAGCCACCACTTCCTCAATCCTCACCCGGGAAATCGCCGGCGGCGAGCCCCCTCCTCCTCCTCCTCCTCTTCCGGCGACCCCCGACTCCGCTCCGGCGACCCGATCCCCACCTCGGTAAGCCCTCCCCTCCTCCCTCCCTCTCCCGCACAACCCATTTCCTTCTCCCTCTCGCTCGTGTTCGTCCTCGCGTTACCCGCGGATCTGCCGTTCCCGCCGCCTCCCGCGATGCGATCCGCGGCGAGGCCGCTCGCCGCGCTCCGTCGCGCCCCGCCGCGTCCGATCCTCCTCCTTCTCGGCCGTCTCTTCTGCGCCTCGCCGCAGACAGGTTTCGGCGGCGGAGATCCGGGCCCAGCGGACGCAGACACGGACGCGGGAGTGGACGTGGACGCGCGGCTCGTCGGCTCGCTGTGCCGGGTGCTCAGCGACTTCCGCGGGCCGCGCCACGACCTGCCGGCGGCGCTGCGAGGGTTCGCGCCGCGGCTCACGCCGCGCGACGCCGCGGCGGTGCTGCGCCGGTGCAGGCACCTCCCGCTGCCCTCGCTCCGGTTCTTCCTCTTCGCCGGGGAGCTGCCCGGGTTCTCCCACCACCCGGACTCGCTCCTCGTCCTCGCGAACTCGCTCGCCGGCGCGCGGCTCTTCCCGCTGCTGCGCTCGCTGCTGTCCGACCTCCCGCCGTCCGCGCTCTCGCGGGGCCTCTTCCCGCTTCTGTTCCGCGCGTACTCCCGTGCTCGCCTCCCCGAAGATGCCATCCGGGCCTTCTCATCCATGGCGGGGTTCGGGTTCCCCCCGACGATTGCTGATTTCCATTCGTTGCTCTTTGCTCTGTCGCGTAATGGCCTAGTAGAGTATGGTGAAAGATTTTTTAGGGAGTCGACAGCTCAATTTGATGTTTCAGCGAAGGCCTACACAATTTTGATCTCTGGGTGGGCTGTTGTTAAGAAGCCGGAAAATGCGCGGAGTCTATTTGATGAAATGGTCAAGAGAGGTGTGGAGCTTGATGTGCATGTGTACAATGCTTTGATTGATGCCTTATGTCGGGGAGGGGATATTACATCAGCGCAGGAGCAGCTGAGCAATATGCAAAAGAGTCATGGGCTTGTTCCAAATGCGGCCACTTATGGTCCTTTCCTTCATGCCGCATGCGCATCAAAGGATGTTCGTGCTGCTCTTCGTGTGCTAGATAGGATGCACACTCATGCTCTCACACCAAATGTATTCACATACAATGCTGTTATTCGGTTACTGTGTGATTTGGGAGAGATCAATGAGGCTTACAATATCCTGGATGAGATCACCACCCAAGGCGAAAAGCCTGATGTTTGGAGCTATAACACACTGCTTAATGCGCACTGTAAACTGAAAGAGGTGAACAAGGCGCTGCGGCTCATTTCAAGAATGGATAAAGAATTATGTCCGCCAGACCGGCACTCTTATAACATGCTACTGAAAATGTTGATTAGTGTAGGAAGGTTTGATACGGCTATTGAGGTTTGGGATGGGATGGAAAAGCGTGGTTTCCACCCAGGGGCAGCAACTTATGCTGTGATGATCCATGGGCTAGCTTCCAAGAAGGGAAGAGCAGAAGATGCCTGCAGTTACTTTGTGAGAATGGTGGATGAGGGTATCCCACCTTACCAGGCCACTTGTGAGGTGTTAAGGGATAGATTGCTGATGCTTGGCCTCCGAGACCAACTTGGAGTGCTCACTGATAGGATGCGGCGGAGCACTTCATATACAATACAAGAAATGTCTACTATCATGTGCCGTAGTAAGAGGGCAGAGGAAACCAAAAGTCTGAGAAATGGCCATGAATTCTCTGGGCGTGATCTTGATGAGAATGGATGGAAGGGGAAATGGAAACCAGGAGACTGAAAGTAGCATTAGAGAGTTGTCTTGCGAGTTGTGACCAGATTTTATTTTGTTCTAGTTTGTCTCCCTAGTCTAAAAATACAAATGTTGCACCTCATGAGGAAGTTCTCTGAGTGTCATAGACTTAATGGGCGAGTTAATAAAAATTCCTGGCACAGAAATTTGTGACTGAGAGTTTTCCAAACTGCATTTATGTTTCTCTTCTCACCCTTTTGCCATTTTATCTGTCAATCTATGAGGATCCAAGGATGCTTTGAATAATTCAATCACCATGATTCATGACTGTTTTGCATTTACTGATATGGACTATCATTCTATGCTAGGGTGCTTCACTTTTTACCTTTTCCTTACAATCATATGTATGCACGATGTTTTAGTTATACATACTTAGTTATTCTAGAGAATTGGCATATGAAACATTATTGTCTGTGCTAAGTTGTTAATGATCGACTATAATATACTGTATTATGCTACATTTTAGTGTTTTACACCTTAGATGTTAATGGACCTTTCATTTATTTTTACATGTATATTATTATTTTGGCACTTCAACATTTGTAAATCATTCAATGAATCTGTTGTTGCAGACCAATATGGACTCAGAGCCCTCATCGCAGAACCCGGCAGATATGACAGCATTTGTAAGTTTTAATATTACCAATCGCATCATTGATCTTTTCTCCCATTTTCAAATGTGACAACCAGCCAAACACATGAGAGTAAAAGGCCCAAAATATTTTAGGAAGAGTGGGCATGCTTTATGCATCACGTTTACTTATTTACTTATCCTGTCACTATCTGTAGTGAATGGTTCCACTGTTTTGAATATTGATCTTGCTGCTTTTGATATCATCTGATTGCACTTAATAGATTACATTTAGTTGTAAACCTTAAGATGTTTTGCTTTCATCGAGAAACTTACATTGACTTAATAGATGAAATTTAGTAGTAAAACCATGTAGTGGTTTTCTATTGCTGATAAGTTATGTTTTGCTTTGGAGGTAGCATGCTTATATCGCTTTATTCAGGAAAAAAAGGTTTTTTTTACCGATTATAATCTCTTTCAGGTACAAAACCTCCTAACCCAGATGGTGAGTTCCTTCGGATATGTTTCTATTAACATCTGTACTGATGAATTCACATCCATCTTTCACTCACAAAAATAATGATGAATTTCAGCAATCAAGGTTTGAGTCTATGTCCCAGAACATTGTGTCAAAGAATATCCTTTTCTGCTTCTATGCCATTATGCTCATTCTATTCTTCTCTTGGAATCTTCCGAATGAAATCTGAAAGTGGATCACTAACATCATCACACTGAACAATTAACCTTATGCCAATGCATAGTTAACTTAGGGTTGTCGTTGCATTACAATATCTTGCGTTATGCTATTGAGAATTATGATGATGCTAGTATCACAGTATGCATTTCAGATGGTGATATTATTTATCATTCTATCATGCCATTTGTTTCTGTTTGAATTTGTAGATGGAAATTTGTAGTATTCTGACTATTTATGTTAAACATAATCATTCCAACAGCCAAGTATCTCTACAAACAGCATATGCCATTGATATAGGCTTGTTTGATGGTTGAACAGTTACAGTACTTGATAACTAAGTACTCCTACCATCCCAACATATAGCAACTTCTAGCGTTCAAAATTTGTCCCAAAATATATCATCTTTTTCACCTACTTCCTCATCTAAACCAATCACAACTCACAACCATCTCTCAGTTAATTCCTCCAACTACTTCCTCATCTCAATCAATCCCAACCTTTTCTTATTTAATGAACTGCTTACATTTTGGGAGTGACGGAGGAGCTAACTAGTACTACTGGGGTTTTGTTCTTCTTTCTCTTCTGTCCCTTTTGTGTTCTAGTTTTATGTGGTTACATTTCTTTGGCAATCCACTCCACATTTTTGAGGGTAAAATATTTATTGTCATGTAATGTAAGTGGTAGAACAAAGCAACATTTGACAGTTTCCGCACAATCTTTATTGCAAGATTAATTTTTACAAGCTTTATGTAACTGCTGGTAGTATTCTTTTTTGTCAGTTACCATCCTTTTATGTAACAAATTAACAAGCCTTCCATGATATCATGTCTGAGTCAGATATTGAAAATTGCTGGTAGTATTCTTTTTCTCATGCTTTTTGTAACTGCTTCCGTAATGACCCAAGTTGTTCAGATACCGCTCTACTTGTTCAAAAGTAACCCCATGATGCAAACCTTATACTTGGTATATTGTAAACGGACACAATGCATTCTTTGTTTTGAAGCTATCGATTCTCAAATACGGACATAAGTTTCATCGCTGCATTCATACCTTTGGACTGCTATATTCCGTTTTCTTTAACTGCACTGCACTAGATGAAATGGGAACCAAGATCGATGAGCTGGAGCAGAGCGTCAACGACCTGAAAGCTGAGATGGGTACTGATGTGCCTACCAAGAAGGCCGACGAGGCGAAGCCTGCCGACTCCACATAACTTGGCCGCAGACCAGAGATTGGCCCGTAACGATTTGGCATCGGTGATGGATTTTTCAGCGTTTTATGTGTATCCGATATTAGTTTTCTTGGACCATTGCTGTTGAATGACTCGAGAGTGATTTTATGCTATGAGCGTTCTCCTCTAGAGTATCTGCTGCTGCTGCTGCTAAGGCGATGTGTTTGGCTTGTATGCAAATTTGATTTTAGCAGAATGCCACAGATGTTTGCTTGCTGATAACAAGCCGCAGCTGCTCGCCTTTTATAATGCTTCAGTTCGAGTATTCAGTTGTGCCCTTCTTTTACACAAATCTGATACCTGTGATTTCAGCTCAGGAGTACAGGCGTTTGGTTATATCCGAAGTATATATGATCTGAATTCTCTACTGTTTCTGCTTCTTTCTCAGTGGGGTGGGTGGGCATGTGGCATCGACCACACGGGCAATACCTTTTTTCTTTCTTTTTTTTTTTGAGAAAGGCAATACCATTTTGATATCTGAACACATCAATTTTTTTTGGGTCTGTTTTGCGGGTGATTTGAACTGATTCATGAGAACACCTTGCAAATTTCTAGTGTTCCCAAAATCAAAAATCAAAGGAGTTTCTAGTTGCTATAACTTCTCTCCCAGCATCAGAAGCTTCTTCAAATAGTTTAACTTTTGATCTAGATTTTGAGAAATTGTACTTTCGAATTTTTTAAAGATATTTTAATAATATATCTACCAGGAACTTATTTTCAAAAACAAACTTTTCGCCACGCCTCCGCTAGAACCGGCGTGGCCAACGATTGACATGTGGCATCACCCGTGGCGTGGCAGAGTAGTTTGGGGAAATGTTCATTTTTAAAAATAAGTTCCTGGGAGTTCTATTAATAAAATTATTTAATAAACATTTAAAATAAAAACTCATAAAAAAAAATTCTTCGCCCTCTCGGTCTCCCACCGGCCCACAAGAGGCGCATTCCCATTATCCCTGGAGCAACCTGTCAATGACATGTGGCCCCACGTTCGCCCCACCCCACCAAACCCGCCTCCTTCAAAAAATTTCTTTATTTCCTTCTTCCTGCCACCTCGCGGCCTCCGCCCCCCAACGACCTCCTCCGCCGCCGCCGCCGCGACATAAAAACCGGCGATCCCCCCCTTAACTCCACCCTCTCTCGCCAGCACTGATGGCCCACCGCCTCCTCCTCCCCACCAACCCCCTCCTGCCCCCCGGCACCGGCACCGCCACCCCGCGGCGGCGCCCCGTCGCCGCCACCGTCCGCGCGGCGCTCGCGACGTCGGCGGAGGAGGCGAGGGCGGCGACGGGGGCGGAGGTGGTGCGGTCGATCCGGGCGAGGCAGATCGTGGACAGCCGCGGGAACCCCACCGTGGAGGTCGACCTCGTCGCCGGGGACGGGCGGCTGCACCGCTCCGCGGTGCCCAGCGGCGCATCCACGGGGATCTACGAGGCGCTCGAGCTCCGCGACGGGGACGGGGCGGCGTACGGCGGGAAGGGCGTGCTCAACGCCGTCCGCAACATCAACGAGGTCATCGCGCCCAAGCTCGTCGGCGTCGACGTCAGGTGAGCCGGGGTTACGGTACGAAGCCCAGGTGGGTGGGTTCCACGCAATGCCGGATCTGATCGCCGGTGGCTTGGCAGTGGGTAGGTGGGAAACGTGCTGCTCATGATCAAACTGCTGTTGGTCATGGGTGTTTGGTTAGGTGACCAGTTTGACCTGATGTTTGATAGTGAAGCTTAAAACTTCTCCCAATCATGGCTAATGATAGAGACAAGAAGGAAATATGGTTAGACTGACCCAGAGGAACATTTTACTGAATTATTATTGGGTTTAGTTGGGAAGTTTGGGAACTGGAATTCCCTTCTTGCTAGTGCTAGTACTATTTACAGTGGAATCAATAGCATAATTTGATTTGGTAGTAGTTTGTTACTTGTAGGATTTATAAGCATTCTATTGAACCTTAAAAAAAACTTTAAAAGGGAGAGAGAGAGAGAGAGAGAGAGAGAGAGAGAGAGAGAGAGGACAAATCCTATCCCGTGCCATTTCTTGCAATGTCAGGTTTATTGAGGTATTGTCTCCATTGCTTTCTGCTGATGAAGTTACAAAAAATGAGAAGAGTTGTTATTAGTACGTAGCTGGACCTATTTATTGAATACTCAAAAAGATATTTGCAAATGTAATCATCATTTGTTTTTATGTGTTTTTGGTTCAAATCTGTTATAGATCATTCCTAGATGCCATGCCTTTTTTTTTAGCTGGTGAAAATGATATTGATGTTTGTAATGCTTTTACATAAATGTGAAGTTCTTTTTTTTTTGCGGGGATAAATGTGAAGTTATTTTAAGATTCACTTTTTAGAACTATGTTTGTACTTCCGATGCTACAATTTATGGTCCATGCCTCTCACTTTGGTATCATCATGTTGCCATATTTCGACTTCTAGCAGTACCATTCTTCCTCTGAAACTGTGGATTTGGTTTCTTAACTTAAATTACAAAGAACGACACAAAGTGTCCTAGAATGAAATGGCATGGGAGAACTACTCTAGGGACAATCGATGAAATAAAGTAGTCCTTGTGTGTGCTTAGTTGTGTACTTAGAAACAACAAGTTCTAGCATTCAATTCAAGTGCTGAACTTACATACACAGTTGTAAAATGATTTTGCATATTTGAATCCCTAAGCGCTGTTTTTCTTGGGCTTGCCCCCCTTAAATTCCCTGAAGTGAGGATGAAGCTGGTTTACTAAACTAAACGGACAACTGGGCATAGGGAAACAAATTACTATCAACAGAACCATTGCCATATCTGAAGGATTGTCAAAGACGATTAAAGTGAAATTTGTTGTCATTTTGCATCCAAATAGATTTCTGGGTGTTGGGAGGTACCATTAAATTGTGCTTGCATTCTGTGTCTTGCATATAATCTATAATGCAATGTTCATATACCATTTTGTCAGGAACCAGAGTGATGTTGATGCAATCATGCTAGACATTGATGGAACTCCGAACAAGTCAAAATTGGGTGCCAATGCTATTCTTGGAGTCTCTTTAAGCGTATGCAGGGCTGGTGCTGGTGCAAAGGAAGTTCCTTTATATAAACATATTCAGGAGTTGGCTGGAACAAAGGAGCTTGTCATGCCCGTCCCAGCTTTCAATGTAATAAATGGAGGTAGCCATGCGGGCAACAATCTGGCCATGCAGGAGTTCATGCTTTTACCTGTGGGAGCATCTTCATTTTCTGAGGCTCTTCGCATGGGTAGTGAAGGTAACTTTATGTGTTTAATTGATAGTGTGATACACATACTTTTGGAATTCTAATTGTCCAATGCATGCCCTTATGCACGATTAATTTGGTACTGTATTTGATATTTGTATGAATCAATGTCATGATTATTCAGTAAATGATACATTGGCAACAGTTACATCTGCGCATGCATGATTAATTTGGTACTGTATTTGATATTTGTTTTGAGTCAATGTCATGATTATTCAGTAAATGACACATTGGCAACAGTTACATCTGCGCATTTGACTTGTAGTTTGCTCTCGTCTTTTAATTCTCAAATGTTTGTCTTCTGAGATTTACCTGTCCATGTTACAGTTTACCATGCCCTAAAGGGCATCATTAAGGCGAAATATGGTCAAGATGCATGCAATGTTGGAGATGAAGGTGGCTTTGCTCCTAATGTTCAAGACAACAGAGAAGGCCTTGTCTTGCTTATGGATGCCATTGAGAAGGCAGGCTACTCTGGAAAGGTCTGCAGTCATCTTGTTTTATTTCCCACCTTTTCAATGTGGACCACCTTTTTTTTTTTTGTAACTTATAATACTGTGAACCCATCCTACTGCAGATTAAAATTGGAATGGATGTTGCAGCATCAGAGTTTCTTACAAAGGATGGAAGCTATGACTTAAACTTTAAGAATCAGCCTAATGATGGAGCTCATGTTCTTTCAGCCCAGCGTCTCTGTGATCTGTACAAAGAATTTGTCAAGGATTTCCCCATTGTATCAATTGAGGACCCTTTCGATCAAGATGACTGGAGCTCATGGGCATCATTGCAGTCTTCAGTTAATATCCAAATTGTGGGGGATGATTTACTCGTCACGAACCCAAAACGTATTGCAGAGGCTATTGGCAAGAAGGCTTGCAATGCTCTTTTGCTGAAGGTGGGTATTTACTATGCATATCCGTCATGCTATTTTACTCGCATAATGTGCAAACATACATTCATTCTTACAATGTATTTGGTGAATACAATTTAATGTAGAACATGGCAGTATTGAAGTGATGTTGGCTTGTTACCAGATAGCTAATTACTATTAATCTCTTTGTTGCAATAAACAACAACAGAATTTGACTGTGTAAAGCACTCTGTACCATCAAATTCCTATTGTTCTTCTGATAATGATCAGTTCTAAGTCCAATATAAACATGGACTGCAAAATGACAAAAATATATTCAACTGTTTTTCAGGTTAATCAAATTGGCACTGTCACTGAATCAATTCAAGCTGCTCTTGATTCAAAAGCTGCTGGTTGGGGCGTGATGGTCAGCCACAGGAGTGGGGAAACGGAAGATAATTTCATCGCAGATCTGGCTGTTGGTTTAGCAAGTGGTCAGGTAGGGACTATCACCATCAGAAATCTTAACTGTGGTACCAAAATTCTACGAACGCTCATCAGATGATCCTAACACACTCATTCATGTGTTGCAGATCAAAACTGGTGCTCCATGCCGTAGCGAGAGACTGGCAAAGTACAATCAGGTAAATATTCTTATCCTGTTCCATATCCATTTTTCACCAACCTATACTGAGATTATGTACTTCCACATGTCATTTCCTGATTCTACCTCAAGTTTCTCCCTCGCTATTTTCCCCATTACACCATACTATGTTTTGTTCCTGTACAGCTTCTGCGGATCGAAATGGAGCTAGGCAATGTGCGCTATGCTGGGGAGGCATTCAGGTCTCCCTAAGAAACATACATACCACACAACATTCGGAAAGAGTCGCTTGTGTACTGTTGAGTAGAAATAAGGTCTTGTACTATTGAGGCATCCTTATTTTTTTTCTTATCTTTTTGCAACTTAATCTATTGGATGCATGGTTGTATATGCATCTGTAGCTTGTGCTACAGGAGAAGCCATCCGAGAGACCGCTAATGCTAGGAAACGAGCTGTATTTCCTCAACATGATTAGTAACATTTTTTGCCATGCATTATTTATCAAACTAATCGGCTGTCTGAAACATGGGAAATTCTTCCCCATTTACAGGAAGTTCACCCCCAAATTCTTTATTTGGATGTTATGATGATTTATGAACAATTGGAAAGCATTGTATTGAAGTCTGATGCGCTTTGATCATATAATATTTGCATTGCAGATTGTGACATGTGTATATACTTCAATCGAGATGATCCTTGTTGGTATAAACCTCTCTCGTGATTCCAAAGCAAATCCCACGAACGAAGTTAAGGTTGACAAACAGATGCCAACAAAATACCATTTTCGCTTGCAAACAACACTCTAAACATCACTCACTTTCAACGACGACATCATCGACAACCTCTTGTTTGATGTTGCACCTATGCAACGTAGGAATCGGAGAAGACTATTCATAGGTCATAAATATTTTGAGACATGATTTTTACCATAAAATTTTACCACTGAGACACATGGCTCTAGCTACCAAACAGGATTAGGCCTCGTTCGGTTACACAAGGATTCAATCCGAACCGGGAATGACAAGTATAGTAAGAAATTTATGATATATATAATGAGAGAACGGGATTCATTCTGGGCTGGAAACCAATTTACACATGATATGGACAATAAGAGACTAGAAATCAATCTGCTAGTCAAGAGGTGTGGAACTAATCCGGATGTTTTGTTGTACTTAATATGAGTAAATTGGTACTCGACCCGGAATGAATCACGGTTTTTTGTTGTACCTATTATAAATTTCTTGTTATACCTATCATCCCCGTCCCGGAACGAATCCTTGTGTTACCAAACATCTAATTGGCACGTTGTTTCTTTTTTCTAAAAAAATAATATTAATAGAGCTCGAATTTGGCACGTGCGCGGTAAAGCAGCTAAGCTAAGCTAGAGCGAGGTGAGCTTGAGCAAGCCGACGTACGGCGTGTCGACGGAGCCGAACCACAGCGACCCGTTCCGCTCCACCACCTCGCTCACCGTGGCGCCGCCGAACCCGCGCAGCGCCACGTCCACCTTGCTGCCGCCGTCGTCGACGACCACCCTGACGGCGGCCACGGACGCCGGCGTCGTGCCGTTCACGGTCCACGCCTTGTCGCGGTTGAGCGCGACCCAGTACGACGCGCCGCGGCCGCCGTCGGCGGCGGCGTGGCGCACGTTGTCCGGGTAGCCGGGGAGGTCGGCGAGAACCTCGGTGGCGCCGGCGTTGCTGCCGCGGAGCCAGTGGCGGAGCAGCCGGCAGGAGGCCGTCTCGGCGACGACGAGGTGGGTGCCGTCGGCGCTGACGGCGACGCCGTTGGGGAAGGCGAGGCCGGACTCGAGCACGGTGACGTTGCCCGTCCGCGGCTCGTACCGGAGCAGCCGCCCCGTCGCGTCGCCGGAGAGCACCACCAGCAGGTAGTCGCTGCACCGCACGGATTAATTAGTTTTACAGACTATATTACCACAATGATGGTTAATTAAACCTCCTTAATTACCCAACTTGCACTAGAAAGTATGCTTCTATTTTTCATATATCCTAGTATCTTTTTCAAATGCAACTATAATATAATTGAAATGTAATTATATTGTAATAGAAATGTAGCTATATAAAAAACTTATATAATTTAGTTGGTTAGCATCGGATAACTTCATGCACAAATCTTAAGGCATGACCCGTGCGAAAATTTATTTCTAGCAATTTTCTCTTTATGCTCAAATCTCAAGGTGATTTGATGGCCACAAATCTGAAAGTTTTGGAAGTAAAAACAAATTTACAAGTTTTCTAGCAATTTCACATAACAAAATTCTCCTCCCATTATTTTAAAAAAATCTCTCATATCTTTCTAGTCATTTGCTTTTATCATAAATCTAATTCTAAATAGTGTTTACTAGTAGTTTAGTTACAATGTAATTCCTGTTATTTATAGTGCAATTAAAATGTAAATTTATGTAATCAATATGTAGTGCAAGAAGTTTTCTGAATGTGATGTCGTAAATATAACTTAGTGCCTTAAGAGCAGGTACAATAGCAAGTTATAAGTCAGCTATAACTACATATCGAGAAAAAAAAGAGAAGAGAGAGAAGAAAGCGGGCTATAGATTTGTAGCCGGCTGCAACACGGACTCCAAAACGTTATGTGTGTATGAGAGGTGGGACCGAGTATTAATGTTGTAGTATATTTTTATAGTTAACTATTATATGAGTGGACTATTAGATTAGCTATAGTTGTTTTGAAACCAACAATTAGCTACACTATTAAACTTGCTCTAATTAAACCTACGGAAATAGTACTCCACTTACTTATCACAAGAATTCCCCTGTTTTAATTGAGATCCAAAACCTGAGCTAGTACAACTACTATGCAGATGATCATTTGTTTCTCGATCCAGCTAATTAATAAATGTTCATAACTCCAATGACATTCTTATCTACTGTAGTAATTCACCATAATAATGTTAATATGTCCGTTGTCCCCTGCAATACTGTACTATATATGCTAACTTGCCCCAGGAAAAATAGACAGTGAAATCAATATTGATATACGTACATGGTTCACTGTTGTCAGACATTTTCTTGAACCCGTAAATCCATTTGACATGGTACTACCAAATTAACTACTCCCTCCATCTCAAAATATAAGAGATTTTAGAGGATATGACACAAATCCCTTATATTTTGAGACGATGGGAGTATTTTTACATATGGGTAAAATGCATTTTAAAAAATAGCCCGCCCCTACCAATATGCCGGTAGAAATGGAACCTGAGTGTGTCTTGGAAAATTATTTTTACAGTAGTGCGTGAAAAAAGTACGGTATATTACAATTTTCGTAATTGTAGTAGATATTACAGCTAAATTATGCATTACAATACAATTTAGTGCTAAAGTGGCATTTGAAGACAATGAGGTACTTCCCCAGTCACTTTTATTTAAGAAATATAAGTCTAAATTACCCTTAAACTATTGTGTGACATACAGCTACGTAGTCGGGGAAAGGATCAAATAAAATCCATTAAATGCAACTATAACTCGCAAACCAAATCATATTTTTTTAACACTTTGTTTCGAAGCAGTTGTGCTTGCATACTCCATCTGTTTTAAAATATAAGAACCCAGACAGACCACCTGACCAAATTAGTGGTATTAGAGCATGTTCCATTTAACCAATATTATATTACTATATTTTGCAATGAAAAAAAAGTACCCATTCCATATTTTAATGCATGACGCAGTTGACTTTTTTTTACCAACTTTTGAAGATTTATCTTATTTAAATTTTTGTGTAAATATAAAAATATTAATGTCATATTTAAAGAACATTTGATGATAAATTAAATTGCACTAAAATAAATAATAATAACATATATTTTTAAATAAAATAAATGGTCAAATGTTGATCAAACTGTGAACAATGTCATATATTAAAATACGGAGGGAGTACCATGTAGCCCAATAGGTAGCCCATACGTACGTACCTCCGCTTGTACGTGGTGCTGCTATCGGTGAAGTAGACGTCGCCGGTGGCTTGGTCGACGTCCACCCCGTTCGCGAAGTTGAGCGCCACGCCGCCGGCCTCCGCCGCCACCACCTCCGCCATCCCGCCGCGCCGCCCCACCCTCATCAGCCCCAGGTACGCGTCCGCGATGTACATCTCGCCCGTCCTCCGGTCGAACTGCACCCCCAGCGGCCGCCCGCACACGCTCTCCGCCGCCGCCGCCGCCTTCTTCCTCGCTGCGCACTCCGCCACCGTCCTGCAAATCAACACCACGCGCCGCCGCCCGTACGCCGCCGGTGAGTCTCATGCGCCATGTCATTAGCTGTGATTGAGAGCTTACGCGTGCTTGTAGTTGTGGGCGAACTCGGTCCAGCCGGGGCGGCGGCGGTCGGCGCGCCACCGGAGGACGCGGCCGTTGGAGACGCCGGTGTAGGGGCCGCCGCCGCGGTGGTCGAAGGCGAGGCTCTCCGGGCCGAACGCCGGCCGGCCCAGCCGCACGGGCACGACCTTGGGCCCGGCGTAGATGGACTTCATCTCCTCGCCGTGGCCGCCGGCCGCCGCCGCCGCCGCCGCCATGGCCGCCGGCAAGAGGAGGAGCGCAATGAGCACTGCCGCCCGGGGAGACAAGCACGGCCACATGGCAGCTGATGGGCACTTCTTCTTGGCCTCCATGACAATGGGAGGAGAAGAAGCCGCCATTAATTTAGCTTTGGCTGGAGAAGCTAAGCTAGAAGGTGGCCATGGATCTGTGCATTTGTGGTTGGGCAGTGCGAGAGCATGTGCTACTTATAGAAGTTGTAAGGACAATCTAAAGAAGTCCAGGCAGATGATATACTACCTCCGTATTTTAATATATGACGCCGTTAACTTTTTGACCAACGTTTGACCATTTATTTTATTTAAAATTTTTATAAAAATATAAAAATATTTATGTCATTCTTAAAGAACATTTGATGATAAATCAAGTCACAATAAAATAAATGATAATTTTATAAAATTTTTGAATAAGACGAATGGTTAAGCGTTAGATGAAAAGTGAACAGCGTCATACATTAAAATATGATGGATGTAGTATGTTGCTAGGGGCAGCTAGCTGGTGATAAACCACAGTATCTACATGTTTCATGCAAGTTGGACAGTAGAGGAGTATGTTCAACATTTTTTTTTGGGTCCACTTGTCACTTGAAAATTTGCTTCTCATCCCTTTGTTTGTTGGGTTATCAGCATAGGCTGAAATTTGGATTCTGGATCTTAATTCTACAACTGATTTTAAGTTTTTTCATCGTAGCTCATTTTTCAATATATATTGGCTTATAAATATCTAAAAAAAATATATAAAAGTTTTATCCATTAATTATTTTTAGTTGCTTGTTCATTCATTTTTTTTACGGCTTATCAACCGTACAGCAATCGATGAGTTCTAAGCTGCTCCATGCAAATATTAATTGTTTAAATATCACTGATCACCTAAAATTGGTCTAGATACGCCCTATCGATTTTTATCATAGCCTTCTCTCTCCATCTCCCATCACCCTGAACATGACTCCCATGCCTCTAAAAGAGCCAATTGGACCACATATATAATTCCCACCAATCCGTCAATCTTACCGTTTCTCTATATCATCCTATCGATGAGTTATACTCCGATCATAGGGAGACATAGATTTTTACATGGATTCAACTGATATGATCAGAATGCAAACGAAGCTGTAAATTAAGAGAGCAAGGGAGACATATATTCTATACAGGTTCTACCCTCCTTATTACGGGTAACAACCATACTCCTATTGATCAAAACCGATGTTGCCATTATATATCAATATCTCATAATAAAAACCGGGAGGAAAACCAATTCTGATCTGTTAGGATATTGACGTAAAGGTTGGGTATATGGTTGATGGCTAGTTGTTGTCGATTTCCTTGAGAAGGAACTCAACGAGATTAGAAGTGGCTCTAGATCCTTCTTGGCTTGTATTGGCTTCATGTTGGCTTGTCTCTTTTCTCCTTGGGGTCTTCTATTTATACCTTCAGGTATTTTCTTGTCTAAGTATAACTAAGGTGGCAAATATGGATATGATCTGAGTAGTCCTGGTCGAACCAGAATAATACTCTATTTCTCTTTTCTTATCCATGACTTATTTTTTCTTATCTATCCATGACTTGCCATATGTATTATGTATAAGATTTGGTATATGATGGATCCTACCGAGCTTAGTATGCATATATAAGGTGTCTCATATGTAGGACACTAACACATCCTTACACCACCATCTTCCTCTTTCTGTTTCTTTTTTTAAAATTTGTGTTGTTTTCCTCTTTTGCCTCCAACAGCTAACCACTTTCTTTTGGAGGTTTCCCACTGATATAATACCTCGTCCAACCCCTCCCCCATATCTGCCAACCCCAAGATAAAACAATAGTGATCCAACTGCTGTCAATATAGGAAATCTTCGGGGGTATATGATCTCCTCTTAATTGTGTATGATCTCCTTCTAACTTATTCACGGAATGATAGTTAGGTAGTATTCATTTCTCCTGAAGATAAAAATGAAGATTAAGTTTTTTTTATGCAAAACGAGGTGGTATTAACGTATGATTGATTGAGTTTTAATTATTACAAAATTGAAAAATAGATTAATATGATATTTTAGAGCAACTTTCAAATAGAAAGCTTTCGCATAAAATGCACCGTTTAGCAGTTTGAAAAGCGTGCCACGAAAATCTTAATCTTCATCTAACCCTTGTTGGAGAAAAGAAGGGGACATATAGTTGCTTTGGTACCAAACTTTTCCCCACTGGATAGTAATATATTTTACACTATAGTACCAAAACTTATTAAGGTTTTGACAGTATCAAAATATTAGTTGGGCAATCTTCAATCCTAGAAATAAACAGGAACTAATTTGATCCTGCAAGCCTTAATAATTCATATATGCCAGCTGTCGGAGTAACATGTATCGACATGTACTAGTGTACTCTATCTACTGCTCTCGTGGATAAAACATTATATCTACTCCTACCGGAAGAAATGGTCTGTTTGTGTAGCTTAACATTGTTAACTGCTTGATAGCTAGTTTTAGAATCTAGAAAAACTGAGTTTTTTAGCTTTTGGTTTCCATTTTTTTTGTTCTACCACCATAACTTTTCATAATCTAAATCCAAAGTTGGACTATGAATCTTTTCAAAAAAAAAAAGTTAGACCATGAAGAAGTTTCTAATTTAAAAGAAGATGCAGATACCATGAGCTCTCCAGAGTAGTCCAGACAGGTCCAAAGAGCATGTAGGACCTGGCCAAACAGCTGCTCCTGGGTTGATGTGACGCCTGTAGAGCGTAGAGCCAAGCTGCTGCTGCCCTGTGTGTTCTGGCCACGTCATAAATCTCGTCTAGTCAGCCGTACAGTGGAGCAGCACGCAGCATCAATAAAAGGCAGCTGAAAACCGAACAACCGATCAGGATACCAATTGAGCTGCCGCAATGTTCAATACTACTACCTCTCCTCCGATCTAAAATACGAGTATCGGCTTGCATTCCCTTGTGTTTCTTTGCAGCGGCATAAAATATGTGCTTGTTTGCTTGTTCTTCTTTTCAGTCGGCTGTGCGCTGTGGATACACCGTGGACGTGTTCGGAAGCCATTTATGTGGCAGCGTTGCGGCTTCGGTACAACCACGAGCGTAGATCTGTGGGCGCATAAATGGCTTCCGAACACAGATCCGTGCGGAAGCCATGCATATAGATCCGTGAGCATGTTCGGTATAGCCATGGTAGGCACGGTAACTGCAAGTTAAACACAGCGTTTATCTATAGTACAAGCAGTAGAAATATTATTGTGTTTACTGCAGGTGTGTAGTCAAACCCGTATAAGGAGTTATATATGCATGATTCAAATTTTATAATGTAATATAAGCAATTTGTTTTGCTGATTCCCATGAATCGTATCATTTCAATGATTCCACGACCAATCCAATCAGATGATGAAAAGAAAATCTATGCAATTCAAAATTCAAAAATTGACTACTGAAATAACTGAAACAACCTTAGTATCTAAACAACCTAGGAATTTTTATATTTTAAAATGGCTGGAGTATTTACTACTTACGAGTATTACTACCTTTGTCCGCCTGTCCCACAAAATACTTATGGTTTCTTTTTTTACTGTATTAATTAAACTCGATTAATCCTTGCCCGAACTAAGCCTGTTAATACGTGATTTTCAAAATCCATAGTTCTAGTTTAAAAAAGACTTTTTCTCCACGAAGTGCATTGTAGGATGCTCTAAGTACTAGCTAGTATTTTTTTTTTTAGAAAACTAGCATGATGACCTGCACAGATTGTGTGGCTATGCATCATTATACCTTTTCTCACATAATAGCATATATATTTTCACATTTTATATTAAAATATATTAAAATAGAAACATAATTTTAAATTCTATACTAACCAGTGTGTAATATTTATATTGTATTATATATACAAAATAGTTATTAATTTTTTTTTCGAATTTATTTATTTCTAAATTGTATTCATATATGGACGTACTCTAGATTACTCTTTCAATGTTCCTTATTTTTTTTAATTCTGAAGTTTCGTTATTTTTAAATTTTATTCATATATGGTCTCTTAACCCTTCTTTCAATACTCCTTATTTTTAAATACTAAATTTTAGTTATTTCTAAATTATATTCCTATAGAACTACAGACTCCTCTTCCAATATTCATTATTTATAAATTGTATTTCTATATAGACTCTACACTCTTCTTTCAATATTCTTATTTTTTAACTCCGAACTTTAGCTATCTGTAAATTCTATTCCTATATGGACTCTATACTCTTCTTTTAATAATCCTTATTTTTTAATTTTGAATTTTAGTTATTTTTAAATTGTATTCGATATGGACTCTAGACTCTTCTCCCAATCTTCCTTACTTTTTTTTGTTATTTCTAAATTGTATTCCTATATGGACTCTAAACTCTACTCTTTTATATTTAATTTAGACTTTTTTATATATTTAATTTCCATGTAGGACTAGTCTCTCGAATGTTAGTGATATGTGTTAGATGTATATTTATGGCTTTTCTATTTGCCTTTTGGCATTCTCCTGTACCTATATGTACTTGGGCCATTGCCCTCTCATGAATATGATCATTATTCATAACATGGTATCAAGAGCCAATTAGACTTCTTATCTCCCAAAGAAATTTTTTTTCTATGACTTCTCTATGTGGATGTTATGATCATTACAAGCAATGATGTTGAGTTTATTGCTTTTGTTAAAGCGCATCTTAGTGAGCAGTTTCTTATGTCTGATCTTGGTTCTCTCCGTTATTTTCTTGTCATTGAGATTTCCTCTACTCCTGAAGGCTTTTATCTCTGTCAAGCCAAGTATATTCAGGATCTTCTTGATAGGGCTTCTCTCACTGATCAACACACAGTTGAGACTCCCATGGAACTTAATCTTCATCTTTCTGCCACCGATGGTGAACTGTTAGCTTATCCCACTCGCTATCGTCACATTGTAGGGAGTCTTGTTTATCTCGGTGTCACTCGTCCTGATATTTCATATTCTGTGCATATTCTGAAACAATTTGTTTCTGCTCCCACACAACTTCACTATAGTCATCTTCTTCGTGTTCTTCGTTATCTTCGTGGAACTATCTCTCGTTGTCTTTTCTTTCCTCGCTCCATAACTTTACATCTTCAGGGTTACTTTGATGCTACTTGGGCTAGTGATTCCTCTGATCATCGATCTCTTTCTGCTTTTTGTGTTTTTCTTGGTGGT